CTACAATAGTTTTTTTTTTTTAAATTCAGTTAACATCTGCAAGGAACTTAGCCTACCACCTGCCAGTGATGTACTTTCACTATTTATATATAATATATATATTATAATATGTATAATATATATTATATAGGCCAGCTGTGCCCTACAAACACACTTTCCCACGCTAGCTGGAAAGAAGTCCTCCACCCCCACCACCTATTATGATTTCTTCTCACTTTCAAGTCCCTTTTAAATATCATCTCAGAAAGGCCTACTCTGAACTCCCCATGTAAAGTTCAGCTTTAGAACACTCAGTTTGCATCTTTCTTAGAACTTACAAAAAAATGACAATTTTTGATTGGCTCACTAATATATCATCCCCCTCCTTTCCACACCATACTATAAAGGAATGATCTTTGAGTTTGGCTCTAGATAGTCCATATTAATGAGGTAACCTCACTATTTTCTTTGGACACCAAAATGTAAAGGAAAGCACTTACCCTCACTGTCTTAGAGTATTTGAAGCCTAGCTCCCCACTTTCTTAACTGGAAGAGGAACCAATTTTTGCTAATTAAATTATTAAATTCCATTCAGTTCTCAGTAGAAATCTACTGCAAACAGAAAAGGCAGTGGAGAAGGTATGGTGAGGTGGTGACCAGGTGGAGGGATTACAGGGTGTGGAGAGGAGATAAGGACACCAAGTGGAGGACAGGAAAGTGTTCTAAGAGTACCAGAGACCCTGGAAGAAATTCTACAGGAAGAATCTGAGACAACAGATGGCCTGAAAAAGCCAGGTTGTGGTCTACCTAGGACAGTGTGCTAATTCCTCGACTAGCATAGGAATTCCCATCAGTTCTCCAGAAGTTGCTGAAGAACTTCCAGGCTATGCCCATCACCTGCATTCACAGAACCCAGAGACTGTAGCAAGAAAACTACTCTGTAACTGAATTTTCCTTTTACTAACAAAAGCCTTTATTAGCATCTTTTCCTGAGTCATACTATCCAGCACATGAGATGATAATGAAACAGAACTTGTTTCTCAGTAGTTAAAATAATTTCATAATATATCAGCCTTTCTTAAAAGATAATTTAATCATTATTCAATCACTGACAAGATTCACGAAAGTTAAAAAAAAACCTGGAGTTCAACAGTTAATCATAACTAGAAAGTAAATCAAATATCATGTACCTGTCCTATAAATATTTTTATAACTTCTGTCTCATGGTTTTTCTACAAAACACTCAATTCCTAAGTAAGTAAATCCTAGGTTAATATATAGAATCTCAAGCATTCCCTTATACACATGTTGACTAAGTAGTGAAGAGGTGATAACTGCAGAAAGTTGCTGTGATTCAGATTGTGTTATAGTCAGTAAATTGATTACTCGTTACAGGCATACAGGTGTTACTATGAAAACAGAATTTAAATTATGTACTATGCTCATATTAAAATATAGCTGTCTTCCCAAGAATGACTAACTTTAGAAAAGAATATGAAGGAAACTAACCCAGAAAGGGATAATTTAATTATGAGGACAAAATTGACTTCTTATAGGGAATTAATATCAAGAGTACAGATTGATGTAAGGCTTTGCAGAAGAGAGTGGGCAGCTAGACTATAATTTATAGATATCACCATTTTATGCCTTGTGAAAAGAATACTGTATGGTTATACCTGATGAAAAATATGGCTCATTAAGAACTACTTCATCATAATTGTTAATATCAACAATTTTATGTATAAGTTATTACTTCATTAAAACTGTTGAGTAGTTTTATTGCTTTCTGGTTCCAGGGTTTATTAATTTTCATTTTTATTTTACTGCCCCTATTTTGCTAAGGTAAATGAAGCTTACAGAGGTGAAGTACCATACAGAATATTAAGCAACAGAGCCAAGATTCACATTCAGGTATGACCCCATGCATACCACAATAGTATCCTGAGTTTTGCTTACATAAATATTAGTTATGTATTCATTTAAAAATGGAGCATGTCATCACACATTGATAATAAAATGGCTAACACAATAAAATATTGCTTCCAGCATATTTGAAAATCAAATATGTTTCCCAGTTTTGAATCTGGAAACCAGTGGTAATAATTAGTTTCATTATGTGAAAACCAACGCCAGTTTATTGTGTGCACTAGAACAGAGTAGCTCAGAACATAGGCTCTGAAGTAAATTCTTCAATTCTGACTTTATCACTTAGTTTCTGCATACCTTTGGACATATTCCTTCACTTCTCTTTGGCTCTTACGTAAAACAGGATTCTTTGTAGTAATTGTAGTGACGCATGTGGCACTTACAAACATTAAATGAGCTTACTACAGGTAAAGAAAACTGACACATAAGCACTCAAGGAATGTTGGCTCACATTGCTCAAACCCAAAGGTTTATACAGCCCTCCCACACTTTTTTTTTTTTTTTTTAATTAGGCAGAGTTAGACAGTGAGAGAGAGACAAAGGTCTTCCTTCCGTTGGTTCACTCCCCAAATGGCTGCTACAGCCAGTGCGCTGTGCCAATTCGAAGCCAGGTGCTTCCTCCAGGTATCCCATGCAGGTGCAGGGGCCCAAGCACTTGGGCCATCCTCCACTGCCTTCCTGGGCCACAGCAGAGAGCTGGACTGGAAGAGGAGCAATCGGGACTAGAACCTAGCACCCATATGGGATGCAGGTGCTGCTGGCAGGAGAGTAACCAAGTGAGCCACGGCATCAGCACCCAACTTCTTTAAAAAAATTTTAATTTTTTTATTTTTTGGACAGGCAGAGTTAGACAATCAGAGAGAGAGACAGAGAGAAAGGTCTTCCTTCCATTGGTTCACCCCCTATATGGCTGCTGTGGCCGGCGCACAGCGCTGATCGGAAGCCAGGAGCCAGGTGCTTCCTTCCTGGTCTCCCATGCAGGTGCAGGGCCCAAGGACTTGGGCCATCCTCCACTGCACTCCCGGGCCACAGCAGAGAGCTGGACTGGAAGAGGAGCAACCAAGACAGAATCTGGTGCCCAGACCAGGACTAGAACCCGGAGTGCCGGCACCGCAGGTGGAGGATTAGCCTAGTGAGCCGCGGTGCCGGGCTTAAAATTATTTTTGAAAGCAGTTTTAGGTCCACAGAAAAACTGAGTGGGAAGTATAGAATTACTCCTACTATCATCATTCCTCACCAGAATGGTACACCGGTTACCATGAAACTTCACTGACACTCCAAGAACAGCCAAAGTCCAAAGTTCACATTAGGGTTTATTCTTGGTGCTATACATTCTATGGGTTATGGTAAATCTATAATGGCATGTATCTAACATGAGGCATTTCGCTGCCCTAAAAGGCCTCAGTTCTCAGCATATTTACATATTTATATTATATATACATTATATGTAAAGATATATCATATAAATTATTTTCTTTCCCCTAAATCCTAACAACCACTGATATTACCATCCCCATGGTTTTGCCCTTTCCTGAATTTCATACAACTGGAATTATATAGTATACATTTAAGATTCTCCCATGTCTTCTGATGATTCAACAGGCCACTTCTGGCCGGCGCCACGGCTCAACAGGCTAATCCTCTACCTGTGGCGCTGGCACACTGGGTTCTAGTTCCAGTCAGGGAGCCGGATTCTGTCCCAGTTGCTCCTCTTCCAGTCCAGCTCTCTGCTGTGGCCCAGGAAGGCAGTGGAGGATGGCCCAAGTGCTTGGGCCCTGCACCCCAGGGAGACCAGGAGAAGCACCTGGCTCCTGGCTTCGGATCAGTACCGGGCGCCCGCCACAGTGCGCCAGCCTCCGCTGCCATTGGGGATGAACCAAAGGAAAAGGAAGACCTTTCTGTCTCTCTCGCTCACTGTCTACTCTGCCTGTCAAAAAAAAAAAAAAAAAGAAAAAAGAAAAAAGAAAAGAAAAGAAAAAAGAAATAGTCCACTTCTTTTTAGCACTGAATAAAATTCCATCACATGAATGTACCAGTTTATCCATTCATCTACTGTAAGACATCTTGGTTAACTTCCAAGTTTCAACAATTATGAAAAAAGCTGCTGTGTATGTATATATATAATGTGCTGGTTCTTGTGTGGAATTTTCACCTTATTTGAGTAAACAACAAAGAGCAATTTCTAGGTCATATGAAAACACAGGTTTTGTACAAATCTGCCAAACTGGATATACCATTTTGCATTCCCACCAACAGTTCATCAGAGTGCCTGTTGTTCCAAACTTGCCGGTATTTGGTATTGTCAGGGTTGTGGGTTTTAGCCATTCCAATAGATATGAAGTCAAAGTTCATTCTTCTTTTACATTCTTGATTTAGGTGAAATCCAACATTTTTGAGAAATGTTATCCCTACAGAATAGTATGGTAATGTTGACTGATGAAAATTGTAAAAGCATTTCAAAAATTTCGTGGGAAATGGAATTAAGTTTGTTTCAGGAAGTGCTGTGGCACAGGTTAATCCTTTGCCTGTGGTGCCGGCATTCTATTTGGGCGCCAGTTGTAGTCCTGGCTGCTCCTCTTCCAATCCAGCTCTCTGCGGTGGCCTGGGAGGGCAGTGGAAGTTGGCCCAAGTGACTGGGCCCTGTACCCGCGTGGGAGTCCCAGAGGAAGCTCCTGGCTCCTGGCTTCAGATCAGCTCAGCTCTCCACGTTGCAGCCATTTGGGGAGTGAACCAATGGATGGAAGACCTCTCTCACTGTCTGTAACTCTACATCTCAAATAAATAAATAAAATCTTAAAAAAAAAAAGTTTCGCTGCAAAAAAAAATTGAAATTCATTTTACATAATATGCATCTTTCATGAGCTTTTAGAATACTCCCCGTATGTACATTTGGCTGGAAATCCAAGCAAATCTTTATTTTTCTAAACTAATTTCAATGTGTAGTTTGCGTATTTTCACCCAGCGTTTTGACGAGTGTCACTTTACACTTGTTTTCCAGGAACACTTTGTATTCAGAGGAAACCAGGATTGCACAAGGCAACTGAAACTGCTAGTAGAGAAAAACAAACCACTGACTCTTAGCCTCAATTACTTACAATTGAGGAGGAACATTCACCCATTCCCCAGAGCCTCCACTTGACAACATCACAGCCAACGGATATTAATCAAGTCTAGAAGTGACTGCCGTGACCCACAGAATACACTGTACGTGGCATCTTATGAGTAAGTCAAGTGAGGCTGGAAGCAGAGGCAGAGCAAGCAGCAGGGCTCGACCAGTCTGGAAGTGCAGGGTCGGCGAGCAGCCGAGACCGGGGCGCACCCTGGGGGCAGGTCTTCCCTCCACCTCTCCAGGACACGGAGCAACTCAGAGCACGACGCTAGAGCACCTTCCTGGTCCGTCCAAGACCGAGCCCACGCTCGCAGCAGGCGCCCTTCACCGCGACGCGAGCGCGCCTCAGCCTCCGCGCAGCGGCAACGCGGGCCCAGCGAGAAGCCCCAGACTCGCGCGGACCCGGGTGCCCGCGCCACACGGGCGGCTCCCCTCGCCGCGAGCCACGGGGATCCACGCAACTCGGCCGGCGGGGCCTAACGTCCCCCGGAGCCACAGAAGGGCCTCCAGCCCGGCACAGCGGCGCAAGAACGGCTGCCGAGACGCCCTAGCAGGAACCCGGGAGCAAGGAAGCCCAGCACCATGGCGGCACAGCACAGCAGCGGAGCAGCCTGCCCCGGGACTTTTTTCGCGCGTCGACTTGGCCGGAAGTGACGCCAGCAGCCGGCGCGCGGGGCCGCCCCTCGGGAGAGGCGGGGGGCAGGGGGAACAGGCGGGGGCCGGGGGCGGGGCGCGGCCGTAGCTCCGTTTCCGGTGGCTCGTCGCGCTCGCTCACTCCAGCTGCAGCCACTCTCGCCCGTGGCTGCTTCCTCCATCCTGGTATTTTTTGGAGCCTCCATCCTGGTTCTTCCAAAGTGCCCGGACCCAAAACAGGAAGTAAGTGCGATGGAACCTTCAGGTCCCAACCGCCGCCAGGGCCGCTCCGCCCAGCGGAGCCTGTCCGGCCCCCTTGCTGCCCGCTCGCTGCCGTCGGCCGGCGCAAGCTGCGGGCGCCCAGGCACCGCGGGCGGGGTCGGAGCCGGGCCTTGGTGACGCGAAAGCTGCCGTCTCCGCACGCTCAGGCCGGAGCCTCCCTCTCGGGGCCCGGCCGGCGGCGGTGGCGGCTCGAGCTACAGAGCAGGGGGACGAGTGGCCGCCGCGACACGGCTGCGATCCGGCGGGGGCGGAAAATGGCGGCGGGTTCGGAAGAGCTAAATGGCGCCGGGACCCCTGGGGGGTGGGGTGGGCCGGGAGCTCGGGGGCAGAATTGGGCCGGGGAGCGGGCACGGGCAGCGAGCCTCGCTGGTTTTCCCGAGGTGGTCCTTTCTTGTTTCTTTGTTGCCTTTTCCGGTTTGGTTCTGGGGTGCGGAGGCGGAGCGGTGGGCTTGGGCAGGGATGAGGGGGTGGGGGCAGGTCTCGCCGTAACCCCCCCTCCCTTTTTTATTTTTTATTTATTTTTTTTTGTTTTTTTCCCCCTTTTATTTTTTGTGGGCATCTTGCACTGTTTTCGCCTTGGGGGTTCCGCCTGGCTCGGTGGTTGGCGGTCCAGACCGGAGACCCGGGGCCGCGGGTTCCTGTCAGCCGAGTCTCTGAGGAGAGCGGCGCGGGCTGCGGTGCGGGGAGGGTGCCGGGCTCCCAGGAAGTTTAAGAGAGAAGAGAGCACCGCCAGTCCGCTCGGGCCTGTGGACGGGGGCGTCGTGGTGCGGACCTCCGCGGGGACGCGGGTGCGGGTTTGCCTCCGTGCCCGGCGCGGCCCGGCGCGGGGGGCTGTCGGGGGCTGCGTTTTGGTGACAGAAAGGCTCGCCTGGGGAGGCAGGGGCGACGCCCCCTTCAGGTGTCGGCCTGGCCTCGCCCCTCTCCCCGGCCGGAGGCGAGGCCGCGCGTGCTGGGACGCCTGGGTGGCTGCAGGGGACGCTGGATTCTCCGGGGTTCCTTTCTGCTCGTGTGTCTTAAGCTCAAAACCAGTGCCATTTGGAACTCTATTCAGTTCGTAGGGGACAGTCTTGCTTGAAGCTTGTGAGTTCCAGTCCAAGTTAGGAAAATATTTTTCTCTCTATGTAGAAAGTTCTACAGACATAAAAACCCGTCTTTGTTTTTCAGCTGAGAGCCTTCGTATGCTTCAGTTACATCGAATTTCTTTCTGTAAGCTGATGGAAGTTTGTGTGTGAAGGTTGTTGGTTTTAGACCTTGACCACCACTTGAAAGACGGCCATGGTGGTACACCAGAATCTTAGCTTTTTGCTACGATGGTGTAGTCGTGAGAAGACTTAGTATATTTAAGATTTAGAAATTTAGTGCTTAGGAAAAAAGTAGGAGGTTAAAATTACATTCTCTAACATTACAAAAATTGTCCAGCTAAGAGAATACAGCTTGATGTGAGACTTAGGGTTTTTTCCTCCAGTCACAAAGCACAAAAAACAGCCTGTGTTTGGAGGGGGAAAAAAACTTGTTACAGTTATGAATGAAGAAAACACTTTCCATTATTTGTGATATTTAATGATTTTTAATTTCCATATATTGGGTGTTTTGTGTGCCACCAAACAAGCTAATTTTTTTCCCACTATTTTAGTTGATAGGCTCATCCCAAAATATGCTTTTTGGGACTGATCTAGAACCTGCATATTCTGCGTGAATATCTTTAATTGATTGCAGTTGAGCTAGATGGTGCAGCCAAAATGCTATTGCCTTGTCTTCAGCAACATTTAATCAGTAAGTACTGGGCATTCTGTACTTCTTAAGGATTTAAGTCCACATTTTTAGCATTTGCATGAATAAATATGTATTGTCCAAGCATTTTGCACTTAGTGCTCAGGATTTAGAAATATTTTGAGAGGAAGAAAGCACAAAGTTTTGAAGTTAGCATTTGAGAGTTTGAAAGCAGAGCATGACTGGGAAATGGTTGCCGATAGGAAAACCATATCAAAAGAAGCAGGTGTCCTCTTTAGTGGTTGTTTGCTTTAAGTTCTATTTCCAGGTTAAACCCCCCCCCCCTTCTTATTTTTTAAATTATTTTTTGGATGGAGAAAGGTTATCATTCTGTTCTAAGATTACTTTTAAGAGGCGGAAGCTGAGTGTATTTTGAGTATATTTAATAAGGTTGGTTAGAAAGCACCATGTAGTATTTAAAGAACAGAATACTACCCTTACTCACTTGATGCTTCTTTTTGTTTTTTTAGCTTCATTTATTTGCCCAACAGCTACAGACTTTTTTAAAATGATGTTCATGTTCTGAAAATAACATCATTGAACAATTGTTTTCATTATGCTCCAATAAGTACATAGGCTTAAACTAACAGCTGTGAAGATAGAATATAAAACAAATATCCCTAAGAATCCAGTCTGATGTTAATGTTGAAGGAGCTTAAAAATGTTTTTGACTTTTCACTTTTTATTTGTTGAGCTCTTTATTTGGTGGCTCCAATAGTCTTTGACTATGTAAATTTAAAATGTTAACTAAAAAAATAGTATTTTTAAAAACCACAAATGAACACACAGTTTAAACAGTTTTTGAAAGTGTTGAAGTTCTTGGCCGGCGCTGCGGCTCACTAGGCTAATCCTCCTCCGCCTTGCGGCGCCGGCACACCAGGTTCTAGTCCTGGTCGGGGCGCCGGATTCTGTCCCGGTTGCCCCTCTTCCAGGCCAGCTCTCTGCTGTGGCCAGGGAGTGCAGTGGAGGATGGCCCAAGTGCTTGGGCCCTGCACCCCCTGGGAGACCAGGAGAAGCACCTAGCTCCTGCCATCTGATCAGCAACACACCGGCCACGGCGGCCATTGGAGGGTGAACCAACGGTAAAGGAAGACCTTTCTCTCTCTCTCTCTCTCTCTCTCTCTCTCTCTCACTCTCTCACTCTCACTCTCTCACTGTCCACTGCCTGTCAAAAAATAAAAAAATTAAAGTATTTAAGTTCTAAATCATATTGGGGCTAGTGATCTGAATGCATGCTGCTCTGCTTCTGATCCAGCTCCCTGCTCATGCACCTGGAAAAAACAGCAGAGTACTTGGGCCCCTGCCATCTACATGGAAGCCTAGGGTGGCATTCTGGGCTCCTGGACCAGGCCTGATGAATTTGACCATTTGGAGAGTTAACCAGCGTATGGAAGACATCTGTCTGTGTGTGTGTGTGTGTGTCTCTGCCTTTCAAATAGATTAGTCTTGAAAATAAAAACACACATACATATCTCTGTTGCAGAGATCAAAACTTTAGAACAGCACATTCCACATAGCCTGTTTGACAGAGATGTTACCCTGCCTTCTCAAAATGAATTTTCTAGTAGTCTTTTACCATCACTTTCAGCATTGCTTTCTATTAAGAAAAGAAAAATTCCCTCAGACGAGGTACACTTTGAAATGCTTTACAGTTTCAATTCTAAAAGGTTTTTCTATTTCTTAAGTAATTTTAAGATCTGAGAAAGTGATAAACTTAGTGGCCAAGTGTGAAATACAGAATACATTATTAAAGGTGTGTGATACTTGTTTGCTTTCACATTATTTCTCCCTTTGTCTCTGTGGTAGTTTGTGAAGAGAAGTTTTGCAGTAGAAATTGTAAATGGGTTTTGATTACTTTGTTCCATAAAAGTACAAATAAAGAGGAACCTGTTTATCATGTCTGGTTGTTTTTTTTTTTTTTTTTTTTTTTTCCAAGTTTATGGAAAGAGCCCATCTCATGACTGAATGCTAGAAATAAGTTACTGGGAGAAAACACCCTGTGGGTAGGTGTTTGGTATGGCTATTAAGATGTCACTTCAGAAACCCATATCCCGTATCAGAGTGCCTGGTTGTGAGTCCTGGCTCCAGTCCAGATTCAGCCTTCCTGCTAATGCACACCTTGGGAGGCAGCAAGTGATGTCTCAAGTACTTGAGTTCTGGCTCCTGACTTTGTCTTGGCCCTATCCTGGCTATTGCAGGTGTTCGGGGAGTAAACAGAGGGATGGGAGATCTGTTTGTCTACCTTTCAAATAAGTAGAAATTTTAAAGAATGCACTAGAAGGCTCTTTATGAACAATATTTTTGTTTTTCTAAGTCTTGTTTTTTAAGATGGCTTTTTGATTATGTACTATGTTAGATTATTCCAAGCACTAGTCAAAGCTAATTGTTTGTTTACCATCAGCAAAAGAAATACTCTGTTTATTTACTGCCTTGTGTATTTTTTTATTTAAAAAATTTTAGTATTTTTGAGTGACAGGCAAACACAGGGCACACATCTGCTGCATGAGTCAAGCTAAACTGATTTAGAAACTGAATTTAGGCCTCCCAAATAGGTGGCAGGGACCCAACCACTTGACACCCAGGATTCACCTTTGTAGGAAACTGGAAACAGTAATGATGGGAGTGAGTGTCCTAGCTGGACCAAATGCCTACTCCTGTGTGTTTTTTGGAATCTGCCATAGAAGTAGGCTTTAAAATTAACTTCAGAAGTCTGCATTTGGTGTGGTGGCTTAAGCTGCCACTTGGGACACTGCATTCCATATCAGAGTTCCTGGGTTTGAGTCTTGTCTCCTTCAGTTCCAGCTTCCTGCTGATGTATATCTGGGATGGGAGGTATTGTGATGATTACCCAATCACTTGGGTCTGTGTCACCCACATAGAGGGACCCAGGTAGGGTTCCAGGTTCCTGGTTTTAGCCTGGCCTACTCTAGTCTGTTAACAGGCACCTGAGAATGAAGCAGCAGATGAAAGACCTGTGCATGTGTGTGTGTCTGCCTTTCAAATTTTTAAAATTTTTTTTTAATTCATTGTAAATTAGGCGATTGTGATCTTAAGAGTTTTTGGTGGTGCCTTACATAGAAGTACTATTTAGAATGGATAGAATTCATAATCACAGACTGGGTGAAAAGTAAACCTTTCAATAAGCAATATGACTTTATTGCCAAACCAGGAATGAAATTCTGTGCCTTAAAATGACTCACCTTACTAAGTAATTATCTTTACTCAAATAATAGTGATGTTTTCAGTAGATAATTGAAGCCTACATTTTAAGCAGTAAGCCTTTTAGGATATATCATTAATTTTATTGACGTTTTATGGTCATATTTTATCATATTGAAACCAAGCAATAATAAACATTAGTTAAGTACTTTAATTCTTCTTGTTTTATGTTCATTTATAGCACTATTTCTTCACAAAGTTTACAGAGGCCCAAATCCCCAGGAACCTGGAACCATAGTCCAAAGCATTCTGCCTCAAGTGTGAAGTCTCCGTTTTCTTAACTTTGAATAAAATTGGTAGTCTTAATGATGTTAACTCTGGCCTTGTCTGCTTTTTTTCCCTCCCTCCCTGCCTTCCTTCCTTCAGTTACAGAGAGATAAAGAGAAAAGAGATCTGTCCACTGGTTCAGTCCCCAAATGGCCACAATAGCCACTACTGGGCCAGGCTGGAGCCAGGAGCCAGTAGCTCCATCTCAGTCTGCCATGTGGGTGGCAAAGGCTCAAGTACTTTGGCCATCTTCTGCTGCTTTCCCAGGTGCATTAGCAGGGAGGGAACTGAATCAGAAGTGGAGCAGCCAGGACTTGAACTGGTGGTGGTACAAGATGCTGGCATCTCAGGAGATGGCTAATTCACTTCACCACCCATGTTCAGCAAATAAGAATTGTTGTCAGTTACTTACCACTAAGATTTTCTGTTTAGCAGACTTTGATTCTTTCAGAATAAAAATACCTTAACAGATCTTTCAAATTCTTTCATATACATTATTAAGGCATTGCTTATGTGCAGTGGCAGGTATATTGATCAGTGTGCAATGTTTTCAGTAGTATAACCTCAACAAAATGTATAAATAATTAGTTGTTAAATAAATGCTATGACCCACTGAATATGTGGACCAAGTGGATTGGAAAATGCTTCTTATAGTGAGAACTTTATTTATAAATTTATAAATTAAATTTATAAGAGATAATAGTGTGATCTCAGTGTTTAAAAATATAGGTAAAAGGTTGGGAGGTAATCACAAGAATATCGGGTATAGATAATTTTTCTTACTTTGTTAGAAAATACATCTGAAAATTCCATATGTCCTTATTGTCTTATTAGTTGAATTATGTCAGAGACTACCTGTTAGCCAGTTGTTTGTCAACCTTTAATTCACCCAGTAAAACTGTGAAAAACATTCTGTAGTTTGCTAGGTTTCCCATTATAAGAAAATCTTACAGCACTGAATTTTTTTCATACCATATAGTCTCATCCAGTCTTCCAGTTTAGTATCATGACCCTGAAGCAGTTAGGATCTGCACATGCTAGATCCTGTGATTCTCCTTATCATCACTAATAGTATCTGTTCTACATTTGTGCTAGTGTTCTGCTTGGGAAAAGATAAGAATCTGGTTATACAATTAAGGCCCCCCCCCCAAAGTATCAAGAAATGCAACTTCTTTATTTTGTTTTTAGAGGTTATTCAGCACTTAGTTACCCAGAAAGTCAGGACAATATATTGGCTCAGTGGATGGAAATACCACCTAAGCTAATCTGTTGAAAAAGAACTTTACATCAGTGCTAGAATGGAGAGTATCATGAATGACTCATTTCTTTATTTAAACCATATTAAAAAATAGGTCCAAGAGTTATTTCATTATACTTGTCCCTTTTTATTCTAGGTTATTAAATAGGATCATTTTGTTCATTGGGAGTTATTAATGAAAACAAAATGTATTTTTAATATAAATATACAAGCTCCATTATAAGTTGGTGTTGTGCCACATTTCAGGAATCTTTTCTTAAATTTGTTGGGATTTTATTGCTATTTAAAGATACTCATCAAATGATGGGACATGGTAAAATACCACTTCTCCAATTAAAATGGCTATTAAAATTTATTTTTCTTCCATTTTGTCTTTTCATTTTTAGTGTTAATGGTGCATATAAACAACCTATTACAAAGGAGGAAGCCAAAATCAAAATGGGCTGTTTTATTTATTTACACCAGAAATTTGTTGGCAGAGTTGGAGGGCTTCATTACATTTCCCTGATAAACAAGTGGGGAAGAGTTCAAGAAGTTGTTCCTATTCTTATAAGCTGATTTATTCCTGAACATTTCTCAGTCTAACATCAGATGTAGTCTTCCAAGTAACAAATGTCTTGGCCCCACTTGATCTCTCATTCTACACAGTTTCAAAACTAAAGCTTTTGAAAGAAGCACCTGTGGATTTTTCCAACAATTCTGTGTATGCCAGTAGAGCTTCTATCCCCTATATGAAAACTTCCTAAGGTCATGCCAGTTGTTTTCTATTGTGCCACATCATACTATCAGCTTTTGATGCAGTTGACTACTTAATGCTCACGAAAAACACTCAGATTTTTCAGTTAACACTTAGTTTCCTTCCTATATAACATTAGCTAGTCCTCCTTAGTTTCCTTTGTTTTCCTCTTGACGTCTGAAAGTACTAAAAATAATCCAGGCTGTCTTCTGTAATCTCTAGATATTCTTTCAAAATAATTTGTATGCCATTAACTCAAGTATAGATCTAATACTGATCTGTTGAGATCAACTCGTGTCTATCAACTTGACATCTTCATTCAGTTGCCTGTATCTTATATTTCATTACTGATATTGGTATTAATTTTTACATTAAATTTATACCTTGATTTAAGTGCCTCAAAACTTTGTCAGCTATTCAAGCCCAGAGATGAGGCATCATCATTTTTTTTTTTTTTAAGATTGATTTATTTTACTTGCAAGTCAAAGTTACACAGAGGAGAGAAGCGGCAGAGAGAGAAAGAGAGGTCTTCCCTCTGATGGTTTCACTCCCCAGTTCGCCGCAACAGCCGGAGCTATGCCAGTCGGAAGCCGGGAGCCAGGTGCTTCCTCCAGGTCTCCCACGCGGGTGCAGGGGCCCCAGGATTTGGGCCATCTTCTGCTTTCCCAGGCCACAGCAGAGAGCTGGACAGAAGGTGGAGCAGCCACCCATATGGGACTTCAGGCCAGGGCGTTAACCCGCTGTGCCACAGTGCCAGCCCTAAGGAATCATCTTGAAACAGGTTCTGCACACAGTCACTATCATATCTTCATTCAAGTCCTGCCTCCAAATTCCAACCTCTGTCCAGCCTCTTTGCTTCCACTTTTCTAAACTATAAGAGATGTCTTAGACCTCAGATATTTATGTCTTAGTCCCTTACACATTATAGTCCCTTACACATTATATGTACAGCAGTCTGAGTGTTCTGTTAACAACGTAATTTGTATTCCACCGTTTAAAATCCTCCATGAGGGCCGGCGCCGCGGCTCCCTAGGCTAATCCTCCGCCTAGCGGCGCCGGCACACCGGGTTCTAGTCCCGGTCGGGGCGCCGGATTCTGTCCCAGTTGCCCCTCTTCCAGGCCAGCTCTCTGCTGTGGCCAGGAGTGCAGTGGAGGATGGCCCAGGTGCTTGGGCCCTGCACCCCATGGGAGACCAGGAGAAGCACCTGGCTCCTGCCAGATCAGCGTGGTACGCCGGCCGCGGCGGCCATTGGAGGGTGAACCAACGGCAAAGGAAGACCTTTGTCTCTCTCTCTCTCTCACTGTCCACTCTGCCTGTCAAAAAAAAAAAAAAAAAAAAAATCCTCCATGAATGTTGAGGCCTTTTAGTATCTGTCCCTGTGCTCACCTTCCCTCATGCTCAAAAGCCTTTGCCATTCTGGTTGCCTTTTTCCCTTCCAGCAGGCCAAATCAGGTCCAGCATAGGGACTGTGCTGTTCTCCGCAGTAGTGTATCATCGTTTTGTGGTTGACAGTGTAAAAATAGCCACTAATCATACAGTTCTGTGTTTAATTTGCAAAGCAATGTAGAATTATTTACCAAACTCTCACTAGGGTTTCAGAACTTGTAAAAGGAGCCCAGATTGCTGACTTAAAGCTGTACATTTCATGAGATCACCTCTAATGAATGTAAGTTGTCCTGGATGAAATGGTTTCTTTCATCTAACTTCTTCAGACCCCTTTTCCGTTATACTTAGAATATCGGCCGACGCCGTGGCTCAATAGGCTAATCCTCCGCCTGCGGTGGCGGCACCCCAGGTTCTAGTCCTGGTCGCTCCTCTTCCTGCTAGCTCTCTGCTATGGCCTGGGACTGCAGTGGAGGATGACCCAAGTCCTTGGACCCTGCACCTGCATGGGAGACCAGGAGAAGCTCCTGGCTTCAGATCAGCACGGTGCACCGGCTGCAGCAGCCATTGGGGGGGTAAACTAACGGAAAAGGAAGACCTTTCTTTCTGTGTCTCACTGTCCACTCTACCTGTCAAAAAAATTTTTAAAAAAATAAAGAATATCAGCATATCTTTTCAAATCTACCTTTAGTTTTTCTTTTTTCCAAAATGTTAGATTTTAGGTCCTCATGATAATGCCAAGCGAGTAACCATTTTGCACCTATCAGATGAACAGGTGTTTTGTTTTTTGCTTGAAAATTTCTTTTCAGGTCAGCATCCTCTAGTTCACTCCCCAAATTTCTACAGCTGCTGTAGCTGGACCAGTCTGAAGGCATGAGCCAAGAAAAACTTCTGGGTCTCCCACATGGGTACAGGGGTCCAAGCACTTGAGCCATCTGCTGCTGCTTTCCCAGGCCATTAGCAGGGAGCCAGATTAGAAGTGGAGCAGCCAGGACTCGAACTGGCACCTATATGGGATGCCACCATTGCAGGCAGCATCTTTGCCAATATGCAACAATGCTTAATTTCTTTAAGAAAATTTAAAATTGGGGGCAACAAAAATGCCCAGCAATAGGGATTTATGAATATTGTCAACGTTCAATGCAGCATGATACAAAAGTCTTGTATTAAATGTCTAAGGTGATTTCCTTAATACTTTTCAATGTGAGTCGACTCTAAAAAGCAGTATATAAATTTGCACATAAACTGTAGCCTCACACAGTAAAGGATAAAATCAAAGGGAGCTATGCAAGAGAATGAAAATGCATGCTCATTTTTGTTTATGGATTTTAATCTTTTACATTTCCCCATGTTTTGCAGTAGATATTACTAACCAGCTTTATTTTTTAATGTAGTAAATTCAGAAATGAGAGAAGTATGAAATCTGATATCTAACTTGAGGTTTTTCTGGCAAGATGTATACCTTTTCCATTGCAGATTTATATATATGCAGCAGTTCTCAGTATTGAACTACCCTGGAGTGGTGTGGAGGGATGTTGCAAAAATGGAAACTTTAATCATTTTTGTTGAAACATCCCTTAGGAACCTCAAAACCTATACTTTTTCAGTTCTTTGGTTGAACTTTGCCCTGACAATGAGAAACCCATTGAAAGAAGCCTTTGAAAATGTAGTCATTTCAAATTTCTTAAGATTTCACATCATATTCAAGAACTTGGTTGTAATATACCTTTTCGTGCCTGATTGTTTATAAAGCTTGTTTTCCACAGATCCCTAGTAGGGTTGTTCACCTCAAAATGATTTCTGAGTGAATAAATAATGTATACTTTTTAATGCTTTAAGAGGAAATGTAGCATTAAAAAGAAGTTGATAAAAATTATAAAGAAACTATAGTTATTTGTAACATGTAAGATGGCATAGTTGACATACATAACCAGGTCATCTTGCCTAATGGTTCCAAGGTCTACTTCATAGAAGCACTAGCATAGCTTAGCCTATTTTTTCAGAGAATGACTACCTGGTGAAAGACAGCTTGGGTTGCAAGGAACTGGCCGTTAACCTAGTACACGATTGCAGTTCTATCCTTCATTCATTACAGAATACTTGCGCAGGCTAATTTCCAAAAGGTCTAATTAAAAGGACTCTGGTTTTGTCTTATTCTTCTAGAATGGAGACTTCATGGAAGCTTGAGAGTGTCATCACAATACACATTGCCAGCACTCAGTTTTTGCTCTTATTAAACCTTATTGCATAATGCTATTATTTTTTCAGGGTTTGTACAGATAGGAACATGGGGGAGAAACAGTTGGGATAACATGAAAGTGATGCTGGTGGCTAAGAGAAGGCGACTTGGTTCTGTGGGAAGGGCTGTACCTGCTCCATCCGTTGTCTAGGTAAGCCTGCCTTTGTTACAAAGACTACCTCATAAGTTGCCTTTTAGAAATAACTAAATTCTTGATTTCCATTTATCATTATTTTGAGAGTGGCATCACCATTGTAAAGTAAGTGATGTCCTTTTCCAACTGTTAATTTATATTGTAAAATCTTAATGAATTGTTGAATCTTTACCATGTAAATGTTAATATATTTAATTTTCTGCTGAAAGAAAAGCACTCATTTGGTAAATTCTGTGTATGAATTGACTAATGTATGGTGTATATGAGCCAAATAAATAGTGATTAATTAAATACACATCAAGGCTTATATGCTCTATTTTGCAACAAAGTATGTTGACCAAAAATTAGTGTTGTGGCAATAACTTTGTTAAGCACTTAAGGTGACTATGAAGACTTTAGCCAGACCACTGATGATAATCCATCACGTTTCCCCTTATGATCCATAAGATTCTGTGACCTAAGACTTTAATCAATCTGTCTGAACAAGAAAAGGTAATATGCTATGTATCTAAAATAGCAGGTAAATGCACAATTATGTATTTAGAAGTAGCACCTAACTATCAGAAAAATAGTTTGGTCAAAGAATCATTTTTAGTGTTTTATTTTTAAGCAATAGAACTTGACTACTGTAAACAGTACTGGAAACCATTTTTGAATCAAAATAACACTTATGATGTATCTTCTGGGGAATCAGAAGTTAAATGCCTATTTAAATGTCACAAGGCTGTGAGTAAAAGCATAACCAAAAAGAGTTTTGCTTATTTGACAAATGACTTTAAACAGGTCTTCTTTCATTGATTGTGATGAAACAACTCTTTTTTTTAACTAAATACTGTAAATTTTAAAAATCAGAGTAGTTTCTTAATTATGTCTGATTTTAAATGTATATAAATTTAATGAGACATTTCTGAAATCTGAACTCTGCAGTTTCACATAAAGAACAGTATAGTAATAAATTCATAAATTTGCAGGGTATTTGGTGGATGGAAGGTCTGAGAAGGCTATTTTTTATATTTGTATCTGGAAATAATTTTTAAAATTCTAATCTGGAGTCTGTTCTTATGCAGATTTGAGTATGAGCACAGTTGAAGAGGATTCTGACACAGTAACAGTAGAAACTGTGAACTCTGTGACTTTGACTCAGGATCCAGAAGGGAACCTCATTCTTCATTGCCCTCAGAATGGTAGGGGAGTTGCTGACATGAAATTGTGACTTTTTTTTTGGATTTTTTAATACCTTGTCACCTTTGACCTCTATTAAGGAGATGGTTTGGACTGGCACAATAGAAGAGGAAGTGATGTCTTTGGATCATAAATTCATCTTCATTTACATTTTAAAATATAGTTTTACATGTCTAAATTTATCATAAATGTCAGCTATTTGCAAATCTCATTGTTTATTTTATAAAGAGGGTCTGTTGAAGCTCAGAAGATGATGGTGAAGTAATTACAGCACACTTCTTTTATACCTTTTGGTGCCAGCAGTATATTTAACACATTGGAAACATAGACTTAATCCTGCCAGTACAAATAAATGTTTATTTTGTTGGAATCTGTTAGAATGTTTTATACAACTATTTGAATAGAATTTATTATTGACCATCTATAATACCTTCAGCTTTGAGATTATTTTGTTGCTTCTCTCTAAAAAAATTTTTACTTATTTATTAGTCAGAATTACAGAGAGAAAGGCAAAAAGAGATCTTCCATCTGGTTTACTCCCCAAATGGCCACAACAGCCAGGCTGAAACCAGGAGCCAGGAGTTTCTTCCAGGTATCCCACATGGATGTAGGGGCCCAAGCACTTGGATCATCCTCCACTGCTTTCCCAGGCACATTAGCAGGGAACTGGATCAAAAGTAGAGCCGCTGGGACTCAAACCGGTTCCCATCTGGAATGCCAGCACTGTAGATAGTGGCTTAACCTGCTGGGCCACAGCTCCCTTCTCCTCTCATCCCTCTCCCCATCCCTATTTCTGTATTCTTTAAATTCATCTTTACTCAATGTAGATTCTTTTTTTCATTTTGTATGTAACCCCCAGATTATTTCATTTAAATTTGTGATTTTAACTAGCACGCACCTTTAAAGATGACTCAAACTTCTTGTCTTTATTCTGCATTCTCAGTGCCTCTCATAGGCACCTTAAATTTATCATATCCAAAGCAATTTTTTCAGTTTCTAAAGCTAGTTTTCTATTTCATTTCTCAATTAGTTAATGTCCCAGATCGTAAGTATTCCTTATCTCCCTCATTATCTTCCTTTCATTCTATCATGAAAACTTGTTGATAGTATTACATTTTCAAATCCATTCCTTCCTCTCTTTAAGTCCCTCTTCCTTAGTTCAGATTCTCATTTCTCATTTTTCATCTGGGTGTCTCAGTCTCTTAAGTAATCTCCTATGTTTAATTCATTGAAACTACAGATGAAATTGATTATGATGCTCAATAGTATGAGAAGGGTTTTTTTTTTTTTTTAAGCTTCCTATTATTTTTAGAGTAAGTACTAGTTCTTAAATTTGGCTTGTAGGCGTCCCGTCATTTCAGCTTTCCTCATGGCTTCTCTACCTTCCACATCTCATATACCTGTGTTTCCGCAGTTCATAACTGTTTTTGTGTTTTATGTCTCAGTCTGCACATATTGCTGCTACTGTCTGGAAGAATAATAATTTCACCCTGACTTCCTTTCTCTTGCAAATTTAAGGCCTCTTCAGGAAATCTTCTATCACCTCTGGTATAAATTAAGTGCATCCCCTTTGTACTCTCTTAACAACCTCTTCATTTTTCCTTCATAACTCCTGTTACAGTGTGTTGAAATTGTTAGTCATCTCCACTACATTGGAAGCTCCTTTACTGAGTGTCCTTTATTGCTCTGTTCTTAGCACTTAGCATGTAGTAGGCATTTATTAAATATTTTTGAATGAATGAAATAACCAGGCTTGGTCTTCATATGTGAAATATTTGGAAAGCCAAATGTGATGGTTTCAAAAGCGGCACCTTTGTTCATAGCTGCTTGTCATAAGACTAGGAGCTAAGTATTACACTAAATGTAGTGAAGGCAATGACCTTTTGAATCGTGTTTGTACAAGTGAGTTAAGTTAGAAATGAGCAAGACAGTGCTATAGACTCATTAGTAGTTAGAGCTTTTGTTTTTTCCTTATTGGTTTTGAAGTTTTTGTTTGGTTTATTTTTTTCCCTTCTATTAGAAGCTGATGAAATAGACTCAGAAGATAGTACTGAACCTCCGCATAAGAGACTTTGTTTGTCCTCTGAGGATGATCAGAGTATTGATGATTCTGCTCCTTGCATATCAGTTGTTGCACTTCCACGTAAGTCACCATATATTAAAAATGCAGACTTCCCCCTTGGAAGTAAAATTTTAGCTTGTTAGAGATTCAGTTGGCCATTCTAGGTAGACTTGGACATGTTACTTTACATTTAGTGAAAAAAATAAATAAAACCTCTTAACCAGCAGTTAAGAAGTGCTTATTTGCCATCCATAACTCTAAATGCTGCTTTTATGTGTATTGCCCAATTTAACCTCAATCTATCATTATAGGTTCCATAAAGAGCCTTTCTAGAAATTTTTTTTCTGGTTCCAGTATTGTGGCGTGCTGCACATGTGGGTGGGTTTGAGGCCCATCTGCTCCTCTTCCCATCCAACTCCCTGCCAGTGTGCTTGGGAAAGCAGCAGAAGATGGCCCAAGTCCTTGGGCCCCTGCCATCTATGTGGGAGACCTGAAAAAAGCTCTTGGCTCCTGGCCTCTGGCTTTGGACCTGCCCTGTTCTGGCCATTGCAGCCATTTAGGGAGTGAACCATTAGATGGAAGATCTCTGTCTCTCCCCCCTTCTCTCTGTAAAACTCTGCCATTCAAATAAATAAATAAATAAATAAGAAAAAGAAAAGGTTTTTTTTCCCTGATTGTGCTCACCTCCAGGAAAATCTTTCCCAAAGTTTTTAAATGTACTGTATTTATGTCTTTGCTTATCCATAAAAAGAATGAGATTTTTTTAAATTACCTCCCCGCCCCCATCCATATTTATTCTCATTGGCCAAGCATGTTCTACAGTAGGTACTCTTTTATTATCCTTATTTTATAAATGAGGAAACCGAGGCACAGGGAAATATAATAACTTATTTAAGATCATATATTACGAAACATGTTATTTCAAGTGGAATACCATTGGCAGAGGGTTATAACAACCAGTGCAAGAAGAGAGTTAAGTTTTTGATTTGCTGAGCAAAACGTGGAATCTTATTGAAGGGTGCAAAGCTGAAATGAATGTCTCAGTATGTTAAAGATGGAGATGAGGCACAGTGTTGTTTGGTTACAATTAGCACAAAGCAAAATTTTGTCATATCACAGTTGATTTTTGCCCTGAGCATCAAGAAAAATCACATCTTCAATTAAGTCTATGTTTTTAACAGAGGAAGTCATTTCTTAAACATATAGACATGTGCCATGTATTTAGAGTTAGTAACTTGTTAAATTGAATAAAAGAGAAACTGCTGTATTTCAGTTTAATGTGACATCTATTGAAAAACAGTGTTAATGTTGATGTTAATGGTAATGGACAAGCATGCCGTAGTTCTAATTAATATTTCCTCCTAATGGTGACTCATGTTTTTTAAATTCTTCACTAATTTGGCTGTCATTATGTTGTGATTCCATTGTAAAACTTGATTGGCCTGTCAGAACTGATACAACCCTATGGACATTTTCTAAACTAGAATATTTTTGTAAGAGTATTTTTGTATTTATTTGAAAGGCAGAATCACAGAGGAGAGAGACATGAAGAAGGAGAGAGCGAGATCTTCAATCTACAGGTTCACTCCGCAGAGTAGTAACAGCCAGGTCTAGGCTGGGGCAGAAGCTGGGAGCTAGGAACTCCATCCTAGTCTCCCAAATGGGTGGCAGGGACCCAAGCACATGGACTGTCTCCCACTGCCTTCTCCGGCACAGTAGCAGGAGGCTGGATCAGAAGTGAAACAGTTATATGTGAAGCAGCACTCTAATATGGGATGCCAGCATCTCGAGGCTAGCTCAACCTGCTGTTCTACCATACCACCCACTAAACTAGAATGTTTGAACAATCATATTCATGGAAACTATGAGTCACTAATTAAGTAGACTATCTTGATCATGACCTTAGGTTCAAACTACATTTGACATTTTGTTGTGTTTCATGGCGTTAAAACTGACTTTGTGCTCTCATTCACTTAACCTGAGAAGATACTGATATGTTGACCTGAAAGCACATGAGCTACTTGATATTGGGTCATAGCATCATCACATATGGAACATATTCAGGAACCTAATATTTAGCAGTGAGACTGAATTTATGAAAAGTGGACTTTGAGGCATTTTCATGTTCCCTGGATCAGTAAATTAGTATGTTGATAAATGAGCTCAAGACAGTTTCTAAGGTTTTCAAGAAACATAGAAAAGCATGAAAAGTATGAAGTAAAATATTCAGTACCATCATCTGAGGCTGGACTTCATGGTGACAAATAGTTTTTAAAATATGTATATTTAGGGGGCCGGCGCCATGGCTCACTCAGTTAATCCTCCACCTGTGGTACCTGCATCCCATATGGGTGCTGGGTCCTAGTCCCAATTGCTCCTCTTCCAGTCCAGCTCTCTGCTGTGGCCTGGGAAGGCAGTGGAGGATGGCCCAAGTGCTTGGGCCCCTGCACCTGCATCGGAGACCAGGAGGAAGCACCTGGCTCCTGGCTTCGGATCGGCACGCCAGCCGTAGTGGCCATTTTGGGGGGGAACCAACGGAAGCAAGACCTTTTTCTCATTCTCTCTCACTATCTAAGTTTGCCTGTGAAATAAAAATAAATAAATAAATAAATATGTATATTTAATTTCAATATTCAAGTTTTTTCTAATTGTTTTATATAACTGATAAATTTTATCTCTGGGCCTTAAAAATCCTCTCAGCATCTTGCTTGAATTATCATATTAATCACTAACATTCTAATCTCTCTTTGCAGTTACATAACATTACATTTACCCTAGCCTCCATTCAGAGTTACAACTGTATGGTGATTAGGATATTCATTCAGGGATAGGGAGCCTTTGTTCTGCCAAGTTCCATTTGGATATTTATAACATTCACAGGCCACACAAAATTATTAACTTAAAAGTTAACCTGCTATAGATTTATTGAATTTCACGTCCCACCTGCAATTGCCTTGGTAGGACCTGATGCAGCCCTCAGGCTGTATGTTCCCCACCTTGTTACATGATTCTTTTAGAACCTTAGCCTGTTATTCCGTTACTCATTTTATATTCTTGCCTTTACTATTATTTAAGTCTTTTTTTTTTTTAATTATTTGACAGAGTTTACCTTCAAATCCTTTTTCATTCTTTCACTTCATTTTTGTTTAGTGAAACCATAACCCTATCTAAATCTATTTTTGCCAGTTTATCTCATTGCCAGTGCAGCTAATTGAGCAGGATTAGAAAAACAGCATGAGCAAGCTTTTTGGTTTCGTTCCTGATCATTAACCTGTACAGGACTCAGTGCTGCCTGCAGTCACATCATATTTATGTGTTCTTTCTCCCATTCTGAAATGACCATCTCATAGATCCTGAAACTGCCTCCTCCACCTCTCTTACTCTGAACTGATAACCTGTGAACATTGAACAAAGTGATTTCTGTTAAGTTCCCACTGTGAAACATGTACACCCACCTGGATCCCTGTCTGTATATTCCATTCTTATCCATTATCTCGCTCTTTTGTTTGCTACATTCTTTTCCCTTTTGCTTCTCAGGTTGTTAATAGTGCTTTCTCTTTGAATCATCAGTTGTTCATCCTCTACTGAACCATCCCTGTCTATATGACAAACATGTCCTTATTTTTCCTTTAAAATAAAATGTCCTGTTTGCCAACTTTTTCCATGCAATTAAAACAGAATACCTTGAAAAAGTTGCCTATATTTTCCTCTGTGTCTTATTTCATTTTTCTTTAAATGCACTCTGTTCAGGATTTCATCCTTTTACTAAAACTCTTTTCCAGTCCTCCAGAGATCTTCTGGTTGCCAAATCCAGTGATCTTTTTATTATTATTTTTAGTTTTGTGTTACTTGATGTGCCAGCAGCTTTTGACAATATTCGTCACTTCCTCCTCCCTGAAATAGTTTGTCGGTTCGCTCTGAAGAACACATTCCACTGGTTTTCTTCCTACTTTTCTTTCCATTCCATAGTCTCCTGTGCTGACTTAGGTACACCACCTGTAGCTGTAAATGTAGAACACCCAGTGACTCAATATAAGACTGCTTTTTTTTCTGTTTTTACTCATTTCCTAGCTGGTGTTAATCCAGGGTTTTAAATACTTTCTGTAGTACCTCCAGTTTTTTTTTTTTTTTTCCTATGTCATACTTAAACTCTAGATATTCAGTAGATATCTCAAACTAATATATTAAAAACTGAGCTCCTGAAACTTCATAAATTCTTAAACTTACTTCTTCCTCATTTTATTAATGGTAAATGCATTATTCCAACAGTTTAAATTTTAAAAAAATGTATATGTTGTGTCATTGTTGACTTTTGAGTTCTTTTCCTATTTGGTTTACTTGAAAATCATATTGCTAATACTATCAAAATAGAACCGTAATTTGAATTAGTTACCAGTTGTCACTTGCCTTCAAGCTAGCGTAAGCCACTGACCTCTCATCTGGATTATCATAGTAGTCTCTTAACTGACCTCACTGCCTCTCAGACTGTTTTCCGTATAGCAGCCAAAGTGATCCTATTGAAATGAAAGGCAATTCAGAATCCACCAGTGATCATGGGAAACCCAGATAGGGAGGGTGCCAGGCTCCCAGTTTCGGCCTGGCCATTGGCACCATTTGGGGAATGCACCAGCAGATGGAAAGTCTCTTTCTTTGTCTTTCCCTCTTTCTCCTTCAAATAAAATATTTTAAAAAAAAAATCTGTCAGTGGTTTCTCACCTCAGGTTAAAACCTTTTACTGTGGCTTACCAGGTCCACATAGTCTCCGGTTCTTGTTGTCTGCTCTGGCCACACTGGCCTCCATGCCATTCACATGATCACTTCAAGCAGGCCACATTTCAGAACCTTTGCACTCAGCTGTCCTTGAAATGCTCTTACTTAGGATGCTTGCTTAACCAGCTTCCTTCCTTCCTTCCTTCCTTCCCTTGTTCCAAATCTAGATTCTTTTCTTAGCCTCCTATCTAAAATTTCAAACACCCTCTTCTACTTCTTGCTTTTTTTTTCCCTCCTGTCACTATGCAGCATAATACCTGTTTATTTTGTATCTTTCCCCACTAGAGTATAAGCTCCACAAAGGCAGATATTTTTTTTGCACGCTGTTGTATCCTCCACCCATGGCAACACCCTTAGTACATACCAAGTAAAAAATACCTCTTAAGCAGATGAATATATACATGTGAGGATGTAGTGACAAGGAGTGTGTTAGGAAATTAAATGGTCATGCTTCTCCCATAGATAATTCTTGAATAATTTGATCCTGCCATTATTATTCTGGTGATGAAATCTTCTCTTGCAGTTTCAGAAAATGATCAGAGCTTTGAGGTGACCATGACTGCAACTACAGAGGTGGCAGATGATGAAATCACTGAAGGGACTGTGACACAGATCCAGGTATAGTACATCATTCAGATGGCCTCAGGAGGATACTCCTTCACATGTTGCTTAGGTGGTAAGGTGTTGAAAACATGTTCGCCTGGCAAAGTAGAGAGAGGTAAGACTTAATTCAGGTTTCTAGTCCCCATATAAGTCTCGGTTCTAAGCAAAGATTCTTGTTTTAAAGTTTTTTGTTTTCTCTTCTCTCTGGTTCCTTCTCTAAATGCCCACACCAGCAGGAGGTGGGCCATGCTGCAGCCAGGAGCTGGGAATTAAATTTGTGTCTCCTACATGGGTGGCAGAGACCCAAGATGCATTTGGCAGGAAGCTGGATTGGAAACAGAGTAGCCAAAACTCGAATCAGGAACTTCAGTATGGGAATGGATGACCCATACTGCACCAAAGACAGATTTTAAAATGCATTCTATGTGGAGTGGTTTGCATCTGTTGGAGCAGGAGACAATACATGCGCATTTGTGTGCATTGATTTCCCTGGAGCTGTTGAGACCAGTTAGGACAGTAGTTACTGTTCAGTCTGGTACTTACAGGACTAGACACACACTGTCACGTGCTGAGAGGGTGGGTAGTAGTCAGCCTTTCTGTTTGTTGTGTGAACTACTTTGTGTCATGTAAGCCCTAGCTAAATGAATTTTCCCACAGTAATCAGAATTCTTTGCTTCTTAGCCTGAAGCTTAACTGTTTTACTTAAACATATACTCTGTGCATTTCTTTTTTAGTAGCTTTTTGTTTCATACATACATTTGGTAAAATATTATTTCTTGGAAGAGGGAATGACGGAGAGACAAAGTGATTTTCTGTCTGCTGGTGCAATCCCCAGATGGCCACAATGGCCCCACCCTGGCTGTAACCAGGACCTAAGAACTCCATTCTGGTCTCCTGTGTGGGTGGCAGGGACCCAAATATTTGGTCATCGTCCCCTGCTTTCCTAGGCACGTTAGCAAGGGGAGTTGGATGGGAAGCAGAGCCACCAAGACTCGAAATAGCATGCCATTATAGGATCTGGTGTGCCAGCATTGCAAGTGACAGTGTAATCTACCACAACACCAGCCCAGCATTTTTTCTTTCATGAAGCATCATATGTATGTATATATGTGTGTGTATATATATGTACACACACACACACACAGAGTACTTTTTGGTGACAAGAGATTTTCAATAGGTTGAATACTTGTTTTTAAATTTCTAAGCCCTGTATCTGTATTGCAGAATGAAATCCTCCAGCCAGTTCACTAAGACCTTAAAGAGTGACAGCAAACTAAATAAAGCCTGAGTAATTTTAAAAGATATATATATATTTAGGCCGGCGCCGCGGCTCACTAGGCTAATCCTCCGCCTAGCAGCACCGGCACACTGGGTTCTAGTCCCGGTCGGGGCGCCGGATTCTGTCCCAGTTGCCCCTCTTCCAGGCCAGCTCTCTGCTGTGGCCAGGGAGTGCAGTGGAGGATGGCCCAGGTGCTTGGGCCCTGCACCCCATGGGAGACCAGGAAAAGCACCTGGCTCCTGGCTCCTGCCATCGGATCAGCGCGGTGCGCCGGCCGCAGCAGCCATTGGAGGGTGAACCAACAGCAAAGGAGGACCTTTCTCTCTGTCTCTCTCTCTCACTGTCCACTCTGCCTGTCAAAAAATAAAAAAAAGATATATATATATTTAAAATAATAGCAGTTATTCAGCATGATAGCCTTATTTGTAAGGTTTGCAAAATGTGTTCTGCTAAATATATAGACCTCTTTTGGAAAGTGGTGATCCACCACTTTTATTTAACTTATTAAAAGATCATCCAAGGGTATTTTCTCCATTACAGTTCTTAAAAGTGGTATTGTATGTATGAAGGTCTTTTTGGTAGCCTTATGTTATACCTTTTACTGATATATAACTCCTGTGTCATATCTTACAGAATTTTGGCATTAAGAACACAATGGGGACTTAGACAACATCTAGTACATTGCATGCCTCAGCTTCATAAAGGTTTCTGTTAAAGATTCATTCATTCATTCATTCATTCAAAAGGTAGAGAGGGGAAGGGAATGAGAGAAGAATGGAAGGAGGGAGGGTGGGAGACAGTGGTTTACTCAGCTGTGGCTGGGCCAGGTCAAAGCCATGAGACAAGAACTCCTTCTTGGTCTCCCATGTGGGTCACAGAGACCCAAGTGCTTAGATTGTCTTCTCCTAGGTGCATTAGCGGAGAGCCACTGGTACTCAAACCAGCACTCCCATGTGGGATGAGGACTATGGGCTCACAAGGCAGCTTAACTCAGTGCACAACACTGGCCTCAAGGTTTCCCTTAAAAACAAAAAATCTAGGGGTCAGGCACTATGGCATGGTAGATTAAGCTTCTGCCTGAAGTGCTGACATCCCATATGGGCACCAGTTCAAGTCCCAGCTGCTCCACTTCCGATCAACTCCCTGTTAATGGCCTGGAAAACTGGTGGAGGATGCCCCAAATGCTTGGGCTGCTGCATCCACGTGGGAGACTGGAAGAAGCTCCTGGCTTTGGATCAACTCACCTCCGCTGTTGTGGCCATTTGGGGAATGAGCCATCAGATGGAAGACTTACTCTCACTCTCTCTAACTGTACCTCTCAAATAAATATATTTTTAAAAAATCTAAACATTTTATGCACAGATATAGGGCAGATTTGTCTCAGTGATTTCTTCCTCTTTGCCTATTTTATTAGCACTGTATAGGTATTCATAACAGTGTAAGAATAAGGCAACAATAGAGACAGGGATCTTCTCATTGTGCTTTAGTTGTTTGCCAACAGTTCATTGAGCTTTCCAAGTAAGATGGATTTCAGTTCTTAAGGTAGAAGTTCAGTTTCATGGAGCCGGCACTGTGGTGCAGTAGGTTAACGCCCTGGCCTGAAGCGCTGGCATCCCATATGGTTGCTGCTTCTAGTCCCAGCTGCTCCTCTTCCGATCCAGCTCTCTGCTATGGCCTCGGATAGCAGTAGAGGATGGCCCAAGTCCTTGGGCCCATGCACCTGCATGGGAGACCCAGAAGAAGCTCCTGGCTCCTGGCTTCGGATCGGTGCAGTTCCAGCTGTTGAGGCCAATTGGGGAGTGAACCATCGGACAGAAGACCTCTCTCTCTCTCTCTCTGTGTAACTCTGACTTTCAAATAAATAAATCTTCAAAAAAAAGTCCAGTGACATAGCTGACTAGTTTATCTCATCAGGAACTGAATTGGGTTGAGTGGTCACCAAGCCTGTGAGTCTAACCATGTCCTGGTCTGCCAGTGATAAGCTCATACCTTACATAATGGCACTGTTTAAGTCTTCCTCACTTAAACTATAGTTCTTTCCAAGGTCAACTCTGTTAAAAGCAGCTTTATTATATTAGGTATCTAGTCTGTAACATAAAAAGTTCCTAGTAAACGTTGCACAACAGACCACCTCAATTGCAATAGTAGTAGTAAGTGCACTTAGTAGCACCATGTGGTTCTTGGGAAAGTGCACTCATGAGGCTGTAAATCAGCTCTAGAGGTTAGCTGAAACAGTTGTTAGAAAACAACATGCAATTACATCTTCTGATTCAGCTTGTTAATCCTTTAAATTTAGCAAGAAATTGTGTTACAGATGATTGTGTATTTAGGCAACAAAGTACTTCTCAAAACATTAACAAATCATAACAGTCAACCCTTCTATTAACATCTGCTATCAGTTACAGCTCTGTGTCATCTCATTTTACACATATAAATACACAAATTACTTTGTTGACTTAAATACATGCTATAATACTTACATAAAATAGAAGCCTACCCAGTTACTTGCTTAAGTAAGTAAAGGTCATGTTAATGTAAATAGTTGTGTTATACTGCCATAATAAAAACAAGGAAATTTGTGTATGTGCAGATTGGATATATTTTTACTATATAAAGAAATGAATTCTATATTACTTTATTAAAGTTTTATAATGCTTAGCATTGGAGAAAGAGGTGATTCAGGTTGGCTGTTAAATCAAGTTGCTACCTTTTTCTTATTCTTACCTTTTCAAGATTTTACAGAATGAGCAACTAGATGAAATATCTCCCTTGGGTAACGAGGAAGTTTCAGCAGTTAGCCAAGCATGGTTTACCACTAAAGAAGATAAGGACTCTCTGACTAACAAAGGTAAGATACACTATGAATTTTAGTGTCCACTGGAAAAACTGAAGATAGAAACGCTTGCAGTCAGTTGGAATTTCATTGTTGATTGGGGAGTTCGAGTAATTGAGCTGCTCTAATTGAATTAAATTTGGCCCTGAATGATTTTGAATGAGACTAGGAAACGAAAATTGTTTTTCAGTGGTTAAAAGCTATCTTCCTCTTTCTGATTCAAAGTAGATTTTATCTTAAGTTTTGAACAAAAGTACAGTGGTGACATTTAAAAAGAAATTGCCATTGCCGGCTGGCACTGCGGCTCACTAGGCTAATCCTCCACTTGCGGTGCCGGCACCCCGGGTTTTAGTCCTGGTGGGGGCACCGGATTCTATCCCGGTTGCTCCTCTTCCAGTCCAGCTCTCTGCTGTGGCCCGGGAGTGCAGTGGAGGATGGCCCAGGTCCTTGGGCCCTGCACCCGCATGGAAGACCAGGAGGAGGCACCTGGCTCCTGGCTTCGGATCAGCGCAGCGCTTAAGGGGTGAACCAATGGCAAAAGGAAGATCTTTCTCTCTGTCTCTCTCTCACTAGGCTAATCCTTCGCCTTGTGGTGAAAGGAAGATCTTTCTCTCTGTCTCTCTCTCTCTCACTAGGCTAATCCTTCGCCTTGCGGTGCCAGCACACCGGGTTCTAGTCCTGGTCGGGGCACCGGATTCTATCCCGGTTGCCCCTCTTCCAGGCCAGCTCTCTGCTGTGGCCAGGGAGTGCAGTGGAGGATGGCCCAAGTACTTGGGCCCTGCACCCCATGGGAGACCAGGATAAGTACCTGGCTCCTGCCATCAGATCAGCACGGCGCGCCAGCCGCAGCGCACCTGCCGCGGTGGCAATTGGAGGGTGAACCAACGGCAAAGGAAGACCTTTCTCTCTGTCTCTCTCTCTCACTGTCCACTCTGTCAAAAAAAAAAAAGAAAAAAGAAAGAAAAAAAAAAGAAAAAGCAATAAAAAAGACATTGCCATTATTTCTTGTGAGAGCTGAGGTCAAACCTTTTCAGGAGTCTGCTAACTGTAGTCTAAGCAGTTTATAGGCTCAAAGTATAAGCGGTCTTCAAAAAGTTGGTGGAAGATGCAGTTATGAAAATAAATGAATTTCTTGCTCCAAATAAACTGGCCTTTTCCAGTTCTCAAGAATCTTTATGAAGGGCCCTTGTGACTTACACGCTTACAGTGTTGATGTGGTCAAAAGCATAACCAGGGAAGCTGCTACAAAACCTGTAAGGATTGTATATATTCCACACTGAAGTAAGGAAAGGAATCAGAAATAACTAAATAACTAAGTTGATTGGTTTCAACCATCATACAGTAAATACTCTTTAAGAAGACATTACTCATTTGATATACAGTGTGTTATTTACCTTGCCTTAGAAACTTTTGTAAATGTTCTTTTCCCATAAAGGTTATTTTTCGTTGCAAAGTGTTGCAGAAACTTTTGATCATGGTTTGGCTTTTTAAAGTCTGTTTTAGCAGTTTTACACTGCTGCTGCTGAAAGGATAAGAGAATATTTTTTGGAAATCTTTTAATTGCTATTGTCTCTTATGGTGAGATAGATTGTTACTTAAAAACCAGAGATTAGGGAACACTTACTTTGTTTTGCAGAATGAAGTGTTTCCCAACTCTAGATTTTTAGAAAAAAGTTACAAAAGTGATTTTTACTTGGTAATCTTTCCAGTTTACAGATGAACATGAAATTAGCCATGTTTTATTCTCCCAGATAATTTAATCAAAAAACAGATCTTTAGTGCTCTTCCCAAGGAAATAACTTCTTAAATAACAATGTTTCTTTTAAAGGGCATAAATGGAAGCAGGGGATGTGGTCCAAGGAAGAAATCGATATTTTGATGAACAATATTGAACGATATCTGAAGGTACCTTATGGCGTATTTTTGTTTTTCACCAATTTGTTTACTGCCAATTGTAAAAATGGCCATGCATCATGTTATACGTATTTAACAGGAACCTTTCATCAACTTTTGTTAGATGTTAACTAAGCTTAATAATTTAAAGTGTATGATTATAGTGTATTTTTAAACTAATTTTGAATTTTCAGTTTAGAATAATTCAAGATCTTGAAGCCTAATGTTTTCAGGCAATCTCTACAGTAGAGTTTAATTTATATTGTATGCATTCTAACTTACATATCTTTGAGTTTATGCTGTCCTACTAATATTTCCCTTTAAAAAAAAATTAGGGCCTGGCACTATGGCTCAGTGGGTTAAAGCTGTGACCTGCCATACCAACATCCCATATGTGCACCTATTCAAGTCCCAGCTCCTCCACTTCTGATCCAGCTCCCTGCTAATGCACCTAGGAAAGCAGTGGAAGGTGGCACAAGTGCTTAGGCCTCTGCACCCACATGGAAGACCCAGATGAAGCTCCTGGCTTCAACTTGGCCCAGTCCTGGCTGTTACGGCCATTTGGGGAGTAAACCAGCACATTGAAGGATCTCTCTCTCTCTCTCTAACTCAACCTTTAAAATAAATAAGCAAATGCAAATACATCTGGGGGGGGGGGGCGGTGGTATCAAAGGTGGATGTTTTTTGCAGTAGCTTAAGTAGCTGCTTGGGCCACCTACATCCCTTATTGGAGTGACTGGTTCAAGACATAGCTACACCACTTCCCATTCAGGTTCTTGTGTGCGTCCTGGGAGGAAAGCAAATGGTGGGTAATGTACTTGAGTGTCTGCCATCCTTGTCAGAGGCCCAGATGAAATAGTAGCCTCCTAGCTACAGTCTGGCCTAGTCAACTCTGGCTGTTGCAGGCATTTGGGGAATGAACCACTGGATGGAAGATCTGTGTGCCTGCCTTTAGTATAAAAGGAAAGTAAATTTTTAAAAATTAAGAGAATTTATTCATGTTCAGACTTGCTAGCTTCGTCTTCTTTGTTAAATAATGGTGATGCTGTGAGGTCTACCTAAGTTCTGAAAGGGAAGAACTTGTTCTCAGAATTAGGACAGTCAGGAAAACTTTTAGAACAGCAAGGATTTGAACTAAGTCTTAGAACTCGGACTGGAGTACACTAGAGTAGGCTACAGTATAAATGCATCAAGGCAAGGACTCAGAGATAAAAACCAGAGTGCATTAAATTGACCCCCCCTAAGTTGACCAGAAGAAATGGCCTCTAGAAAACTGGGCTGTGAAATCCAGGCCAAAGAGTTAGAACTCTGTCCTATAGGAAATGAGAAGCACTGAAGAATTTAAGAAGAGTTGATAGCTTAGTTAAATGTGAAACCCATGGTTAGATCTTAACTCTTCTCATGGAAATCTTTCCAGAGATGTGCTGACTGTCCCCGTAATGAGTTAGATGCAAATGGTGCATGTCTTGAGATTCAAATTTGTACACTGCTAGCATTGTTTGGGGAAGACAGGAGTCCAGTATGAGAATATTTCAAAAAGTTCATGGAAAAACATTTTTTAATTTTCCATGAACTTTTTGAAGTACCCTCATTTATTTAACCATTCTGCTGTTAGATACAGAGTTAACGATTTTGTTATAAATGAAGTGCTGCCTGAAATATACATTCTTAAGCTTAATTTTAATTGCAACCTTGCCAAGGTAAACCTTGTAAACTGTAAAAAGTTTTAAAATGTTTAACTCCTTTTTTTTTAAAGATTTATTTATTTATTTATTTATTTATTTGAAAGGCAGAGAGAGAGAGAGATCTTCATTCCTCTGGTTCATTCCCCAAATGGCCACCGCAGCCAGGCCTGGGCAAACTGAAGCCAGGGGCCCAGGGACTTGGTTCATGTTCTGCTGCCTCTCCCAGGTGCATTCAGCAGAGAACTGGATTAGAAGTGGAGCAGCTAGAACCAATGTCCATATGGAATGCCGGCACAGCAGGCGGTGGCATAACCTGCTGCACCACAGCTCTAGCCCCAAAACTTTTAAAACCGTCATTTCTGTACAATGAAAAAAGATCTTTTTCCATCAAGGGTAATGAAACAGAGAGAAACAGAAATAGTGATCATTGAAAATGTGTCCACAAGTTTGTTAAAGTTATCCACTAGTTACATATGCTTCGGTTAAAACTAGAAAATGTTGTGGGGTTAGATAGGCAGTAAAGAATGTAAGAACATTAAATTTTGGGGATTAAGATGGTTTCTTGTCTAGGATATTAGCATAGGTGATCTCCAAGGACAATTCCACCTCATGATTAATGGGCAGGAGTGTGACTAAGATGTGAAACCTTTCAGAGGAGCCAAAGCAGGCCAGTTGAGAATGGCAAAGACTGTTAAGCTCCAGTGGTAGATAGAAAGACAGGGAGAAACAGATAAGCCAGTAGCCTGTTAGAAAATCTGGTGACTGGGTGTTGGAGAAGAGAAAGGAAACAGTAAAAGCAGCTTATGAGTTTTTATTTTGAGTGATTGAGAGAATGATGATAGGATTGGCAGAAATAGGAAATGTCAAAAAAGTGCACTGCACTTGGAAAATAAAATTGATTTGTGACCAAGTTTTTATGTTATGGTATTCTTATAAAAACACTGCAGAAGTCATTTTTAAGCTTCAGAAAATGTCAGTTATATTTTCCAATCATATATTCCATATTTTGGGTTAAAAAAAAACTGCCAGGAGCTTTAAGAGAGGCAGAGGAAGCTTTGATTGCATTGTGCGATCACCCACCCACGTGGTGTCTGACATGTACAGGTCACGTATAGTATGGATTACTCATTCCACAGTTAATGGTACATGGGCTTCTTTTTAGTTTTTAGCTATTACTTTATATAAATCTGATGGGGTGAATAGCATTTCATTGTGATTTTATGTGTTTCTCCGATATTTTCATGTTCTTAATGGCAATTTGTGTTTTTTAAAGTTCTTATGTCTTACCAGTTTTTCTATGCAATTTTTTTTCTTTTATTAGACATTCTTAATGTATACCAGATACTGATGGTTTATTGGTCATTTGTGTTACAGATAATCTTGTCCTAGTAAGTGTAGAGTCTTGTTTCCTCTTTAGTTGTCATTTCAAGAACAAGGATTCTTAATCTGAATATCACACTCACCATTTTATGCATGCTGGTTAAGAAATCTTCCCATCTCAAAAACATGATAGTACTATCATATACTATCTTAGAAATAATTATAATTTTGCATTTCATGATTTTTCTTTCCCATTGAGTGAGAGATAGGGTTTCAGTTGTTGTTTTTTCTTTATGAATGACAATTGTCCCAACATTGTTCATGGACTTTTTTCCCAGTCTATCATAGTATCTATTCCATCCTAAATCAAGCATCTACAGATTTCTTTCTAGGTTTTGTAGACTTGTTTCCAGGTTCTTTTTATTAATACCTGCAGCAGTACAACACTGTCTATAAGTCCCACTATCTGATGGGGCAGGTCTCTTCATGAATATCTTAGTTATTCTTGACCCTTTACTCTTGTGTTAATAAATTTAGAATGAGCTTACGGAGAAAGAAAAATTGAAAGTATTATTGGGACTACATTGCAGCTGTACATCATTTTGGGGGAAACTAATACCTTTACATTACTTCATCTACCTATTGAAGAACTTGGTATTTTTACTTAGTTCCTCTTAATATTTTTCAAACTTTTCCTCCATGGAGGACTTTCACAGTGTGCCTGAAATTTAATCCAGGTGTTTTTAATATTGATATTCTTGTAAATGAGAACTTTAAAAATAGGTATGAGCTTTATATAGAAATAAATTGACTTTGTTGATTTTTGTATCCATCAACTTTGCTAAAATTTTTTTTAATCAAAAGATTTTTTTCATAGGTTTTTGGGTATCTATATGGAGGTACTTCAGAATTTTTATGGAATGTGGAATTAAAAGATGAGTTTATTTTGATACAAAAAATTAAAGTTAATACACAGTTTTTTCATAATATACATTTTTCCATAAACTTTGGAATGCCCAATGTAACATTATCTACAAATGATTCTTTCTCTGGTCTTGAGACTTTCTATATAATTTCTTTTATCAGGTTATCAGCAATTCCTAATTTTCTAAAAGTTTGATCATACTCATGTGACTTAAATTTTATGAAAGCTTTTGCTAAATCTATTGAAATTTTTACATTTTTTCACAAATGTTCTGATGTGATTAATTATCAGTGATTTTTTGTTCCTCCTCAAATTAATAAAGCTTATATTCCTGGGATAAATTCATTTTTTGCACTGCTGTATTAAAACTGTCTTTCTCTGGTTTTCTGTAGATGTTATGCTAGCCTGATAAAATGAGAAAGAAAGTATCCCCGTTACTTTTTTTTTTTTTTTTTTGTGATCAGAATTGTGTGTCTCTTGAGTAGGATTTACCAGTAAAGTCATGAGAACCTAGTGTTCTCATTGTGGGATATTAATAGCTAATTAAATTTTCTTGATGGTCTATGCCTATCTGATTTTATGTCTCTTCCAGAGTCAGTTTGGTAAGTTGACTTTTTCTATGAATTTATTCATTTTTAATCCAGCTTCAGATTTACTGTCAATATTCTTTAATTAGTTGTCTAATCTTTTCAGTATCTACTTAGTTCCCATTTTTTGTTTCTAATATTTGTTTTTAATTTATCAAAAGTTTATTTCAAATTTTATTGATTGATTTTTTCAAAGAATAGATTTCTAGATTTGTTTACTCTTTCTATGGTTTATTTGATTCTTGATTCCATTCATTTTGCTCCTTTGATTTGCTTCTTTCTTTAGATTTATTTTTAATTTCTTTAATTTATTGAGTTTGATAGCTGATAGCTTATTTTTGGAGTTTTTAAGTATCACTTTATTGTCTTGTAGCATTTTACGTTTGTATCTGACTTAATTAGTAATATATTATTTTAAGTGTCATGAAATTTAATGTTAAAGCAAATTTTAGAAGCATAGTATATCCATGTGCATTTTATCAGAAATCCCTAAATCAAAGAAATGTAACCCATTTAGGCACGCGGAATAAAAGATGCCACAGAAATCATCTTTGAGATGTCAAAAGACGAAAGAAAAGATTTCTACAGGACTATAGCATGGGGTCTGAACCGGCCTTTGTTTGCAGTTTATAGAAGAGTGCTTCGCATGTATGATGACAGAAACCATGTGGGAAAGTATGAAAACTTGTAATGCTGCATGTTTTCATGTAATTAGGGGAAATATTTAAAATATTTTTAAATGTCATTTTTTTAGAACAGTCATGATCAAGGCCTTAATTGGAGACAGCTATAAATTACTGCTAATATTTTCATCCAAGTCCATTAGAGAATGTGATGAAACTTCATTATAATAAGGCCTCCTTTAGAAATTTAAATCACCTTATGTTAGTAAGACTTAGCTGTAGTAAAGTAGCAAAGAATTGTGGTGGTTAAAGATTGAGATTTAGGTCAGTGACTTTTTCTTTCTTCTTTTTAAATAACCAGAATGGAAACGCAGTATTTCTGGAAATAGTGTGTGGATTTCTGTTGTAGGCAGCATGAGTGGGAAGGCAGTGAGGTGATCATGTAGTTGACTAGCATGTTGTTAACCCCTCTCTGGGATGCTGCCAGGTACTGGCGCCGCTTTTCCTCTGCCCCTTCAGCAGCCTGATCCTGGGAGCACACTGCAAAGCTCTGAAAGGAATTCTGTTTTTATAACTGGAAAAAGAGACTTTTTAAAATGGCATATGAATGACTTGTTAACTTTTCAGAAAATTTGCATGCAGTATAGCGGTTACAGAAAGAACAGACTTTCAAATAACTGCGACATGAACATTTCAAAAATACTATATTGGCTGTATTGAGTACTTGCCCACTGAAATAAAGAGCAAGAGTATGGCAGAAGTCCATGCTAGATAGAGGAAACTGAGAAAAATTTTTGTTTTTTTTTGTTTGTTTGTTTTGGTTTTTTTTGTACCTTCAGAGGTATAAAAATTTGAGATTTTATTTCTAGCTTACAGTGTCATCCATAAGTCTTTGGGAATACTTAGAATTTCAGAGTACTTAATCCTGATTTTGCAATAACAGAAGAATTAGGCAGCATAAGAGTAAATATATGCTTTAAATAGTGAAGTTTCCTATAGAAAAATTGTATAGTATTTACCTTCATTTTAATTGAGTGTTTGGGTTTTTTTTCTTTTAAGAAAATAGAAGCATTTGTTACTTTTATTAATCTACTTTTAAAATGAGTTACTTTAGAAATATCAGTGTGCTACATGATTTGACATTAAATTCCCTAAATAAAATTAATTTATGACTAAGTTTTTAGCATTCTTTAATTATCTTTTTAATGTCCCTTAATTTCCAGATATACACCTGAAGAAATTGAGAAGCTCAAGGAGTAAGTTTTAAGTTATTTTTCCATTAATTCTAATTGTTTTTTATGTCTTTTTTTTAGTTTTAATTTGAAAATTTGAAGAGATTTTTGGCAGACTGGTATAATTTAATCCTCATAGTTGACCATAAGGAAAGTTCATCAGGTCTATCCTTGAACGAAGTAACCCATGCCCATAATATAGAAATTGAGTTTTCTTGTTGTCAGTCACCAGAACCTTCCTCACACCACTGCCAGGGGTTCTAGAAGAGCTTATAGATGGCCATATTGGGCAGCCTGAAGACCAAATTTAGGGACTCAAACCAAACTTGTGCTACATTCAGTTTATAATGATGATTTGTCAAATTATTTTGCTGAGAGTCTGGGCTGTCCCTACCTTATAAAGGCTATTGAATCTCAAGGAACAGAATTTTGCTTTATTGAATTAGGGCCATAAAATATGGTTTTAATGGATTATTTCAATCATAAAGAAAATTAAAGGTAGATCCTGTTGATAATGATGAATTTTTCTGATGTCTGAAGAAGAGCTTGTTCAATGTATGCTCAAAAGGGAGAGATTTGGGGCTTGCCTGGGGAGATTGTGTCAATAACCTGAGGGGAAATCTGGTCTTTTTGAACACATATCCAAGTTACTTATTTCTTCTCTGACCCAGGAAAAAGGCAATTGCTGCCTGTTTTTTTTTCACCCACAGACAACTGTGGACCCCCAAAAAAGGCCACACTTTCAAACTTTGGCTCTCAAAGTATTGCTGCCCACAACTTCCAAACCAGTCAAATGGGAAGAAGAAGAATGAAGAATAAATGATGAAATTAAAAGGGAGAAAACAGTTGAACCAAATGCTGATTGGCAGACTCTTGTTTTAGGCTCCGGATAAAGCATGGCAATGACTGGGCAACAATAGGGGCGGCGCTAGGAAGAAGTGCATCTTCCGTCAAAGATCGGTGCCGACTGATGAAGGATACTTGCAACACAGGTACTGTGAGTGCTCCTGGTGGCATTTCCTGTCACCATTTGAGCCTCCTGCCCCTTCAAATACTGTCCTCTCTTCTAGGAAAATTTTTAGGTCCTTCACCTCAGTTCAGGTTTCATTTTCTGGTCTTCCCTTTTTCTCCAGCCTACTAAAATAAACCCAACTTATCTTTGTTTTTGTGCTTTTGTGTAAGATGATACTGTACACAAGGACACAGTATCTCCTTGGTTCCAAGAGGATTTAAGTCTAGTGTATTTCAGTTTTGTAACAGTTCAGAATTGCTCCTGTCAAGAAAGTATTTAAGACATACAAGGGTACTTCATAAAATTAATAGAAAGTGGAATTAAAAGATGTGCATAGTTTTTTCATGATGCATGTTTTCCATGAATTTTTTGAAGACTACCAGAATTTAGCCCTATCAGATTAACTAATGTGAATAACAGCTTATTAACTCATGTTTGTGAACAACTTCAGTTGCAGGAAAGTCTCAAATTAGGAATAAGTAGTGCTCAAAAGGTTGTATGCATTTTACTTATTTCAACTCAGGGTATATTTTTCCATATGTAAAATTTTTAATTGGTATTTCAGTCCCCAGGCCAGAATACAAATACCCCTTAAGGTACACACATGTACTGAAGATACTATTAAACCTAAGCTTTGTAATCAAGAACAGTGTACAGGCTCTGCCATTAACTGTCACTAAACCTTTCTGAGTCCCACTTTGTTCTGTAAAGAGGTGAGAATACATGATCTTCTAGTTCACTTTTAACCCTAATATTCTTGCAAGAATCCACAATCTGTGTTCAGTCTTTGGATAGTTCTCAAGCTGAACTTCAGATTCTAAAGCATGCATTTTTTTATCCTTAACCACCTTATTCTTCTAAAGTCAAGAATGTTTCCTTCATACCTATTCTATCACTATTAATAACAAGACAGTAAGAACATAGATTTCAACTGTAAAATTCTGTGTTATGGCCAATGTAATAAACAAAGTAGGAATGGAAGCTTCAGATTTGGGTAGGACCCCATCGGTTCCATGTTTAAGATATTGTGAGTCCAAAACTCACAACTTGGAAAGAGACTGCTATTCCCTGATTGCCAGCCTGAGAGATTAATCTGCCTGCTTCCTGTTCACGATGCAACATATGGCTTCTGATGACTTTGTTTTATCCTGTGTGCCATACCATGGAACAGCAGTGTCATTTTTCTGTTCTTTCATATTATGCTAAGAAAGCAAAGCCTTGGTCTTGAATTCATCCACAGCATAGAGAGCTGTATCAAGCCCAAAATAAATACTCAGTATTTGTGAATGAATGGATCCTGGAAGCAAGCACATGGTCTTTTTGAGTTTTTCTAAAAGTTTTCAACTATTAGTAAAATGAAAACAGGCTTTTTAAAAGTTCTTTTATTTTCCTGCTTAAGTTCCATAACATAAAGACAAAGATGAATTTCAGATTTTATGGGTTCATGGGTTTGATATTTAGGCTTATAAGTGCAAAAAATCCAGGGATACAAATATGTATGAATAGTATTGTCAGATTTTATTGTGTTTTGGTTGGTTTTTGTTTGTTTTTTCATTTTTTTCATCACAGTAGCTTTTGGAGTTGGGCTAATTAGGAAAACGAGACAATATAAACCTAGTTTTTACTAAAATAGATGAGAACCCAGAGATATCCCACTTGTTTCTCATCTTTAATTCCTAAAGGTAATGGCTTTTTGAAATTATCCTCTTCTACCAAGCAGGGAATCCTAGGTGAGAGTAAGGGAAAAAAAAAAAAAAAAAAAGCACAAGCTTCTGTGTCCCATGAAGCTACCACTAAGTCTTCCTGGCTCATTGTTTGTAAAGTACTTGGTGTAACTTGAGAAGACATAACCCTTTATAGTATGTTTTGGCTACTTTTCCTTTCCTTAATGAAAAGGTCAGTACTTTCCATCAGGAATCTATTTTCTTTTATACTGGGCTGGTAAAATGCAGCTTAGTGGGGCCAGTCGGAAACAGACCTCAGTACTACTGCATACTTCCTGTCAGTCCTTGAAAATACTGGGCAGAATCAGATTTGTCAAAGGAGAAGTTAGCAGTGGTAGTCCGGATGATTTCCTTCTTTCAGGGAAGTGGACAGAAGAAGAAGAAAAGAGACTTGCAGAGGTGGTCCATGAATTGACGAGCACTGAACCTGGCGATATAGTTACACAGGGTGTGTCATGGGCAGCCGTGGCTGAACGAGTGGGTACTCGCTCAGAAAAACAGTGTCGCTCTAAATGGCTCAACTACCTGAACTGGAAACAGAGTGGGGGTACTGAATGGACCAAGGAAGATGAAATCAATCTCATCCTCAGGTTTGTTTCCTAAAGCTTTTAATGACCAAAACTGCTAAGTTTAATGGCTGTGACTGTCATGATTGACTTTCCTCCTTTGGTTTCCTTAGTTGCCTAATATCTGGAAAGCATCCTTCCCATAGAATGCCACTGTTTAAGATCCTTGGTATTTCATATTGAGCTCTTGTTTGTTTTGTGTTTGTTCTTTTTAGTGCGTTTAGTTCCCTGGTTCACCAGATTGAAGGTGTGGAGACTGAAGTCCTGTCTATATCCACAGAACAGGTATGGCACAGGCCGCGGCAGTGCAGCTTTTCCACTGTCCCACCAATGTGCCTCTGTCTGAGTTAGCCTAAGGGGAACATGGCTAGGGTAAGAGGGCTGTTCAGTCTCCACACCCTTCAATCTTTGGCTGCTGTGCTAAGATTGCCAGGAAGGAGACTCCCATTCTACAGTTACCCCACATATTCGAAATGGACCAAATTGAGTACTTTAATTTCATACAAATACAAAAATCACTTTAATAATACCAAGTTTATTTTTTTTTAATCAGTTGGTTTAAACATGAAGAAAATCTGTAAAATTACCCGTAAGAAATTATTTATGACCCTAAAATAAGAGACTGTCATTGTGGCTGTTCTCTACTGAAAATCAAAAGCTTCATAATTAAAAGCTAGAAGACACCAAACAAGCTTTTTTTTTTTTTTTAAGATTTACTTATTTGAAAGACAGTTACAGAGAGGCAGAGAGAGGTCATCCATCTGTTGGTTCACTCCCCAGATGGCCTGGCTGTCGCTCTGAAGCCAGGAGCATCTTCCAGGTCTCCCATGTGGGTACAGGGGCCCAAGAACTTGGGCCATCTTCTTCTGCTTCCCCAGGCCATAGCAAAGAGCTGGATCGGAAATGGAGCAGCCGGGACTAGATGGCCAAACAGGGTTTGTTTTTGTTTTTGTTTTTTTGACAGGCAGAGTGGACAGTGAGAGAGAGAGACAGAGAGAAAGGTCTTCCTTTGCCGTTGGTTCACCCTCCAATGGCTACCGCGGCCTGCGCGCTGCAGCTGGCGCACCGCGCCGATCCGAAGGCAGGAGCCAGGTGCTTCTCCTGGTATCCCCTGGGGTGCAGGGCCCAAGCACTTGGGCCATCCTCCATTGCACTCCCGGGCCACAGCAGAGAGCTGGACTGGAAGAGGGGCTACTGGGACAGAATCCGGCACCCCAACCGGGACTAGAACCTGGGGTGCTGGCGCCGCAGGCGGAGGATTAGCCTAGTGAGCCGTGGTGCCGGCCCAAACAGGCTTTTAAAATCTGAGATTTTATTGCACAATTATGTTGGTTACTTTTTGGTTGCTACTTTGTTTTTGTCCATTGTCATTGTATTGGAGTTTAGCTTTTAATCTTTTTTTTCAACTAGCCATCTTTATAAGTAGCTCATTTCTAAAATTTTTTTTTTTATAAGTGGAAGGCTCAGATTCAGGAAATAGCTAATGTCATAAAAGCCGCACTATAAAACACTGCAGAATACTTTACAACTAAACCTGTTTTTACTGTTTTTAACTCCCTTTCTTTTACAGTTCTTCATCTGGTTCTAACCATTTACAATTCAGTCCTTGTTTGTACCTTTAACAAAAGATTGTTGATAGTGGTGTTTCTCAGCTCTTAGCTTTGAAAGCAGTTCTGTTCTGGAATCCTTCCCCATGTGCATTAACATAGTATCCCACTGGCATAGCTTCCCAGTGCCATCATCACCTGTGGTCAGAGGAGAGTTCATATGGAGAAATAAATTTAACATCTGATACATGTTTATTTTTTTAATCTGTAGGATAGCGGAGCTTGATGTGGCTGATGAAAATGACATAAACTGGGATCTATTAGCTGAGGGATGGAGCAGTGTCCGTTCACCACAGTGGCTTCGAAGCAAATGGTGGACCATCAAAAGGCAAATTGCAAACCATAAGGATGTTTCATTCCCTGGTAATGTATTATTTGCTAAGTCCTCCCCTCCTCAGCATACTTACTCATTAAGAATTAGGGGTTAGAAGTTCTTACCTCAAGTAAAGAGCAAGCTCAGCAAATGCATTAAAACTTGGGAAATTATCTTTTATTCCCAAGAAAAAGGTTCATAATTATTGTTCATAATTGTTGTTTTACACAATCCTTGTTCCTCCACATGAATTATGAATCAAAAATTTCATGTTTTCATTTTATACAAAGATGTTTACAAAACTTAAGTTACTATGATTTTAATTATCTAGAGAAATTCTGTGGCAATTTATTTCGTAAAACAAAGCTTCTACAAATTGCTAATTTAAGGTAAATCTAGCACTCTTAAATTGGATTTGCTTAAAGTGAGGTATAACATGCTTTTCATTATGTTGCCTGTTTGGAATTCAGACACGTATAACACTACAGTTTCCATTTTTCCAAAGTAAAATTAAATGGTCTGATTAAATGAAAACTTTGATGTGATGAAAATGTGACTCTTAAAAATTAAATATCCAGTTATAGATAGTGAATTTATCATGAATAGAGAGAATAGTGTAGAGTACCTCGGTGTGCAAGAACTGCAAGTGGTTGCATATTCCTGTTTGGAAAAGGTCGGCTGCTACCTCTAGGAGTTGTGAGGAGACCCACAGTTAAGTGCCTAAGAGTTCCTAGAGAAAATCATCTACACTGGTCATTTAAAAACTAAAGATGCTTAAGCATTAAGGCTATAATAAGACTTTCATCAAGAAGGTCTAGAACATAGCATGTTCTTCACAAGGTCCACTGGTATTTTTTCTCTATTAATAAATTATAGATGGCAAGAACACTATTGAAATTTTTTTTTTTTAAGGATTTTTTTATTTGAAAGAGTTACAGAGAGAGTTAACAGAGAGGTCTTCCATCTGCTGGTTCACTCCCCAGATGGCCACAATGGCCAGAGCTGCACTGATCTGAAGCCAGGTGCCAGGAGTTTCTTCTGGGTCTCCCATGTGGGTGCTGGGGCCCAAGGACTTGGGCCATCTTCTGCTGTCCCAGGCCATAGCAGAGAGCTGGATAGGAAGAGGAGCAGCCGGGACTAGAACTGGCACACATATGGGATGCCGGTGCTTCAGGCCAGGGCATTAACCCACTGCACCACAGCGCCGGCCCCCTGAATTCTTTAAATATTATAATGGGTAGTGTTTCTAAAAATTTCAGGATACATTATTTTTTTTTTAAGTATTTTTTCATTGTTATCTTGATAAGCTCTTATATCCAATATACAATTATTTATTACAAATAACTCCCTTCTTACCCCCACCCCCCCTCCCTTGTTGCTTAGATGGTGATCTGTCAGAGAATCAATGTTCATTTTGTCTACCCATCTCCCTTCAGTCCTAATAAAAGGTCTTAAACAGTTACATGAAAACCAAAAAAACAACCCAACGCTTTTGGAGAATAAATCAGGATCCGCAGTTCCCAACAGTAATTCCAGTTCCAGTGTACAGCATGTTCAGATCAGAGTCGCCCGCCTGGATGATAATGCAGCCATCTCTCCAGGTCCCATGACAGCGTTGCAGATTCCAGTCCAGATCACCCATGTCTGTAAGTGTTTGAAGCACAACACTTTTTGCCATTTGACCCTTTAGGATTTTGGTGGGTGGCTCTGTCATCTTTCAGTCACTTAGAATGTTGATAGAAATTTACCATAACTCAATTGCAGGCTAAGGTATTTTATGTTTGGCTTAGTTAATATGTACACAAAGAGTGAATATGTGACATGGATTACTTAGAACCAACTGTCCAGCCATTATAAACCATCCTTCTAATTTTTATAATTAATGATTTAATAGAAAAGTGAAGCAAACAAACAGAGTTCACAAAGTAGCACATCATTGGTAGAAATTTCACCAGAAGACAAATTGGAGATGGATTTGAGATAACATGAAGAAATGAGTTTTGGCAAGCTTTAAAAGATTTGCTTCTGGGCCGGCGCAGCAGCTCAATACGCTAATCCTCCACCTAGCGGCGCCGGCACACCGGGTTCTAGTCCTGGTCGGGGCGCCGGATTCTGTCCCAGTTGCCCCTCTTCCAGGCCAGCTCTCTGCTGTGGCCAGGGAGTGCAATGGAGGATGGCCCCAGCGCTTGGGCCCTGCACTCCATGGGAGACCAGGAGAAGCACCTGGCTCCTGCCTTCGGATCGGCGCGGTGCGCCAGCTGCAGCGCGCAGGCCGCGGTAGCCATTGGAGGGTGAACCAACGGCAAAGGAAGACCTTTCTCTCTGTCTCTCTCTCTCACTATCCACTCTGTCAAAAAATAAATAAATAAATAAAAGATTTGCTTCTGGAAAGAAAGGGCTCGTTTCCTATGGGAAAATTTTGTATTCTTCTGTATTAACCTCTGACAATTTTGTCTTTAATGAGATTATGGGAAGCCAGCATAGTTTTAATCATGTACCTTTATCTTTTTTTGGTCTGCATAAACTGTTTGCCTTTTAAAAGGCCATTACACAAGATTATGGTGATCTGTTTGTGATTCTCACCCAGCCAACTGAGGCATTTGTAGTGAGACAGATCATTACAGGGACTACCCTTGACATTATAGGATGCTCAGTGTCCACCAATTTCACCCACTAAATGTCAGTAGTGTCATTTTGACAAATAACACCGCACATTTCCAATTGTATTCTTAATCTCCTCGTTGAGAATTACTGGGACACCTATGAGTGATGTTAATACCAACCATCAATATTTGCATTGACTGTCAGAGTCACCTTGGAGACATCTGAACTAATCGTGCCTCTCAAAATGCTAATTTGAGTTTGGTTATTTGCTTTATCTTTCTACAGTATAATAAAGTATGAAGAATTTATTTTCTTTGGCCCTGCTTGTCTTTGTTTCAGAAGTCAGAATTGGAAAGCACCTCAAATTACTAGTATGATAGCTAGTAGCCATAAATGGATAGTGCATGAAGATTGCCAGTGTTTTCCCTAGCTGTTAGGTTGACAGTACTGACTGGGAATACAGCAGACCTTTTTATAATGTGGGTTTAGTAAGAATTCTACAACCCACCCATTATTAACTTTTGGAATATAATCTCTTGATTCTTGTTTTTTTTAGGTTAGGAGACAGGAATCGACAAATTTTTTCTTTATGTAAAAGGTCAGATAGTAAAAATGACTGACCCTTTGCAGGTCCACATACCTGTGGAACATTGTATTTTTAAAAAGCCCTTTTAAAATGCAAAAGCCATTCTTAGCTTTGAGCCACATTGGTCTTTGACCATAGTTTTGCTCACCTTGATTTAGTTTGCTTATGTGGAATTACCTGAAATTATTGAGAATGATGTTAAGAATCCAGCATAGTAAGAGAAGTAACAATAATCCAGTGGTAAGGGTGTTAGCTTCTTTTTAATGAGAAATGTTATGGTCAGAATATAAATAACAATAAGCACTATATATTAAAACTCATTTCCAAATCATTTTGGGGTTTTACGTACATATATGACTACAAGTGTTATTACTAGTCTTTTTTTTTTTTTTTTTTTTTGACAGGCAGAGTGGACAGTAAGAGAGAGAGACACAGAGAAAGGTCTTCCTTTGCCGTTGGTTCACCCTCCAATGGCTGCCATGGCTGGCGCACTGCAGCCGGCGCACCGCGCTAATCCAAAGGCACTGCGCTGATCCGATGGCAGGAGCCAGGTGCTTCTCCTGGTCTTCCATCGGGTGCAGGGCCCAAGCACTTGGGCCATCCTCCACTGCACTCCCTGGCCACAGCAGAGAGCTGGCCTGGAAGAGGGGCAGCCGGGAAAGAATCCGGCGCCCTGACCAGGACTAGAACCCGGTGTGTCGGTGCTGCTAGGCGGAGGATTAGCCTATTGAGCCACGGCGCTGGCCCATTACTAGTCTTAATCATTTTATAACCTTGAACATTCATCAAGTCTGAGCCTGGATTGATACTCCAGGCTGATCTGATCTCAGTGCTGTTCAATTCCCCAAATGTGATCTAAATTAATAGCATCTTCCATTTCCTATGAAAGGTCAGATAATAAAATGTTTTGGGCTTTTACAAACCTCATGTTGTTTGTGACAAGGACTAACCACAGTTAAAGTGTGAAAGCAACCATAGGAAAAAATGGCATGGCCATGTCCCAGAATTGGCAGTGGGCCATCGGTGGCTGATCTGTATGACATCTCATATAAATCCATTAGCTTTTTTATTTCTCATAAGAAATTTAAACAACTTCATGTTTCCAGGCAGATTTTAAAATTGAGACAGTTAAATACACTGGAAAAACTTCAATTTATGAAGCATCTTACTGTCCTCATTCTTAATTACAGCTTCAACAGACTCCCCTGCTGCTACTGTTGACTCAGAAACAATAACACTAAACAGTGGAACACTACAGACATTTGAGATTCTTCCAGTGAGTAATACTCATGAAATAGATATTAGCCATTTTTTTGTATTTTAGAAAATGAAGTGTTATTTTCAGAAATGCTGTTACATAAGCAGTTGAAATAGTTTGAGTCAGATGGATATTTGACTAGACATAAACCACACTTTCACTTTTATAACTTAATCTTCCCTCATCTGTGTATAACTCATTATGTCTTTTTATATATGAAAATGACAGTGCTATATTAGGGATTTGTACTGAGTCATAAATTTGTAACCAGAAATGTTTTTTACTTGAGAGAAAGTTTGTGTATAAATCATGAGCTATTGAAAAGTCCCAGTCGTAAGTCATTAGCCACTTGGGAAAATTCTTTAGATTCCTAAAAAAGTAGGTTAAACAGGGTCAACAAACAATCCACAAATTCTACTTACAAGTTACCTAAGAGAAATGAAAACGTGTCCACATAAAAATTTTTGTATGAATGTTCATAGCATTCATAGTATCTGAAAGATGAAAACAACCCAAATGTCTGAAAGCAGATAAATGGAAATTATTTTCATATAAACAACATTGAGCTCAAAGGAATGAAATACTGGTGTATCTACAAGATAAAGATGAGCCTTGAAAACACAATGTTAAGGACCCTAGAAACAAAATTAGTACATTCAGTCCTCAGTTTTGAGTTTTGAGAAAACAACATGCATTCAATTGCAAGTGTACTTGGAATTCTGAATATGATGTGCACTGGGTCAGCGTCACATGGTGCAGTCCTCTGTCATGCTGCAATGCATAATGACAGGGTGAACAACAGATGCTGGACAGGGTGCTGTGTTGCTAAACTGGTGTTTGGTAGGTTGAGTACTAAATGCATTTTTCTTAAAGTATTTTCTACTTATGATGGGCTTATTTGGATATTAACCCTATCATAGTCAAGGAACATCTGTATGTGACTCCTATGTAGGTGAAATTCCCAGAACAGGCAAATCTGCAGATAGAGAAAGTAGATCCCCCTCTGGCTAGGGAAAATGAGGCATCGGCTGTTAATGTATGTGGGTTTCTTCTGTCCCTTTTCTAAAATAAGAATTAAGTTTACTTTGTACCTTTGTAATGAAATATAAATATTTTCTAAGTTAAATTGAGATTTATTTATTGTGAAGAACATCAGTCTCCTTCCATCCCCCTGTAAGCAACATATTTGGAATATACAGACTAAGTATACTAAGTTACATATATAACATACATGTACATATAAACTACTTCAAATGCCTGACCCATGTATGATTAATACATGCAACCTTTAGCAAAATGATTAGCTTTTGCTTTTACAGAAAAGGAAAGAAATTGAGTCCCCTCTGGGTACTAGGTACTTTTATAATCATTTCTAAGCCTAATAGCCCTTTCCATGAAAGGCAGTTATCCCCACCTGTATTCAAAGATTCAGTACATAGGAAAGTTTTTTGGCTGAGTCCATAAGATTACATTGGAATGAAAAACAGCCTACATGATTTTAACCTTTATCCCTATTTAAATACAAAACAGGGTGGCAGGACAGTGTTCTTGTATAGGGGATTAAGCTGGTTTGTGTCCTGGCTGCTGCACTTCCCATCCAGCTCCCTGACAATGCACCCAGGAGAGCCATGAAAGATGATCCCAGTGCTTGAGCGCTTGAATTTCTAGGCTTCTGGCTTCTGCCTGGCCAAGCCCTGGCCATTGTGGCCATTTGTGGAGTGAACCAACACATGGAAGATAATTCTCACTCTGCCTTTCAAGTAAATAAAATAACCTTTTAAAACAATTAAAAAATTTTTAATAAAAATTTTCTTCTGTACATCAGAATGACCCTAACTCAGATTATTGTATTTATAGTTGTGAAAGGTTTATCAGTGAATAATTGTTATATTTTTTAAATTTCAAGATTAGTAGTTGACCAGTAGTATTATCAGCTAATCAGTTTTTCAAGTCAGAATCTGTTTTTCTTCAGAACACTGCTGTTATTTCTGTACATCTCCCCTTAATATAAAAAATACTTCTTGAAATTAAAAATGTTCAAAGTAAACACTGCTGATATTGAAGGTCTCCCCCCAACTGGGAGGCTGCCACTTTTTATGTGCTAAAGAGAGGTGACTGGGTGTGCTGGGTTATTGTGGCTCCTGTGGCTGTCTTGGTGCCCTGAAACAGTTGAGACTAAACCATGGGAACAAAGGGCTGAGCCCAGCAGGTTATGTATATTTGTTTTTCAATACAGAGACAAACCAGCAATCTGCTGCAACTCTTTTATTTTTCTTTTTCCTTTAGTCTTTCCATTTACAGCCCACTGGCACTCCAGGCACCTACCTACTTCAGACAAGCTCAAGTCAAGGCCTTCCCTTGACTCTGACCGCTAGTCCCACAGTAACCCTGACAGCTGCTGCTCCTGCTTCTCCTGAACAGATCATCGTTCATGCTTTATCCGTATGTTACAAAAATTACTTGACTTTGAATGTCTTTTACAGACTTGGATTACTTGATAGCAAACATAAGCACCAGAAATACAAGGTCATTATCTAAACAATTCTTCCTGCTACTATTGTCCTAGGTATAGTGTTTTGCACCATCACTTTTCCTTCACTGGGATATGTCTCTCTTCTGACTCGCCTTATGAGAGAAGGATGTACATTAGAATAAGGGATTTAGGAGAGCAAGAATGGATAAATAACTGGTTCTAGAAAAACAGTGATTAAAAATACTGTAGTTCCAGAGGTGAAGGGGACAGTGAGAATGCCATCTATGAATGTCATTTGTTGATTAACTTTAATCCAGTGAGTGCTTTTTAATTTTGTCATAATTTTCCTCAACATTTTCCAGCCAGAGCATTTGTTGAACACAAGTGACAATGTCACACTACAGTGTCACACGCCAAGAGTCATCATTCAGACTGTTGCTACCGAGGACCTAGCTTCTTCCATATCCCAAACAGAACTGACAGTAGATGGTGATATTCAGTCATCTGATTTTCCTGAGCCTCCAGATGCACTAGAAGCAGACACCTTCCCTGATGAAATCCATCAGCCTAAAATGACTGTGGAGCCGTCATTTAATGATGGTCACGTATCCAAATTCAGTGACCAAAATAGCACAGAACTGATGAACAGTGTTATGGTCAGAACAGAAGAAATCTTGGACACCGACCTTAAACAGGAGGAGGAATCTCCCTCTCACTTAGCCAGTGCGTATGTTACTGAGGTAAGTTAAGCTGCACCTGAAAGAACAGCCTGTTGCAGGCATCCCTTGAGCCTCAAATCTGCAGTCTAGAAAAAGCTCTGCAAATATTTAAGACATTTTGAGATACCTTTCTTTGTTCTTTAGACTCAAAGCACAAATCCCTACCCTCCAACACCACAAATTATCAGTGAACCAGTAGTGTTGTTGCTAACAAAAGTGGGCAAAATTGTCTTGTCACAGTCAAGGTGATTAGTACCATGCTGTCATGTTCCTCACTAACACCTTGCCCCTCTCCACCCTGCAGCAGATTGAGAAATGTTTACAGAAACCTACTCCTGAGAGTGGTCAGGAACAGACTTTGATTGGCTTGGGGGACGACCATCCACAACGATGTAAAAAGAATTGGTTCTGATAAGGTCCTTTTTGTTAACATTTGTTTTACTATGAGATTATTACGGTTACTTTGTCCACTTTTTCAAGGTAGTAACCATTGTTTATATTGTATTTTTAAATGGGATATATTCGAGAGTAAGTCGTGTCAAACTCAGATGTGCTTGAGATCTTTCTTAGGGAAACTAATGAGGAATATGAGTTAGAATCTTTTTTTTTTTTTTTAATATTGTTTAGGATTTAGAGTCTCCCACCATAGAACAAGTTGATCAAACAACAATTGATGATGAAACAATACTTATTGTTCCTTCACCACATGGCTTTATCCAGGCATCTGATGCGATAGATACAGAATGTGTCTTGCCTTTGACAACACTAACAGGTACTGTAATATGATTGTAACTATGTGCCTGATATGTTAAAAAGAAATCAAGCAATCAGAAATTTATAATTCTTCTTTTGATCCAACAATATATTAGTCTTATATAAGACTAACTGGAAACTTAACTCATTACAGATCCCATACTGCATCATCATCAGGAAGAATCAAATATCATTGGATCATCTCTGGGCAGTCCTGTTTCAGAAGACTCAAAGGATGTTGAGGATTTGGTAAACTGTCATTAGGTAATTCTTAGAAACAGATAGTTGAAGCAAAGAAGCTACACTGTCAATTACCATATCTTTAAAGGAGCAGGAGCAACTCCCACAAGGCTTCATACACCATTCCTCTGGCTTTTCAATAGCTACAGTGCTTAAGCCATGCACACTGTTGCTGCTGTGACCTTTTTACCTCCTTTAAATGTACCATCTGAGGTCTGGTTTTATGACAGTGTGTAAGCTGGAGTATGTGAGTCTTAACTGCACAGATTCCCATGTTTATTAAGAGGGAATTTCATTTACTCAGCTCCTGAGAAAAGTTTCTCACCAGAGCTTAACTGCTCTGGTTTAAAAGCAGTAAGGGCACTCTATCCAGCTTCAAAGTAAGCCTGGTTGTATGTTGGAGAACTCATTATCAACATGGTCTGGAACTTACTATTAGCTTGATATTAGACCAGCAATCAAATACAGAAACCTAGGAGGTGACTGTATGGCAGTTATTAGCCCATTGCTGGCAGTGGGAGCTGGTTTAGGCAGGGTATAGAGGAAAGCATTAAAGAGTCAAGAAAATTCACTACACGTTTTTATTACTTTTAAAACAAATATGGGTAAGAGTAGTTAACAAACCCACCGGAAACTTAGCAGTTTCCAGCCCCTGCTAAGAAACCACTGTTATTAGTTCAAAAAGTAATTTTACCACTTTGAAGTAAAACTAAATTAAATGGGGGAGAGAAGTAATGTTGCCTGTCCTTGATACCATGACTGTTTATTATTACTTGTTTTGCTATATAAATTACCCCTGAAAATAGGTGGGGGTGGGCACTAGAGTTTACAATTAATTTAGTGCATTAACTGGTTGGGAGTATGGTATAACTTCTCCCTCTCAGGCAGTTTCAAAACACAAAATTTGCTTCTATTAACAAAAGGAAACAAAGCAAGAGTCATTCCTACACTAGAAAAAAGTTAAGCCAAATTAGCCTCTAGGGCTTTAATGAGTATGACCCCTATAGAAAAGTCACAAAAATCTTGTATAAATTATTTTATTTATTATTGTAATTAGATCTTCACAATCAAAGTTGTCTTTTCACCGTCTGTGTTTTGTTAATGTGAAATTGTAGTTTAAGCAAAAGTTGGTTGCCTAGGGAACAATAATTGTATATTCAGTTTAACAGAAATAAAAGAATATTTGTCCTAAAAATGATTGTTTGTTACATAGCCTTTTGCCATGCATTTACATTGTATGTAAAAAAATCTTAATTTCAGAAGTGAAAATTGTGCTATCGAAGCTTTAAGGGCTGGAATGTTTACGTGCAACATTTCTGAAAGAAAAAGCAAAGTGATCTGTGTGTCTCCCTTGCAATAGGGAATTTAGATTTACAGTTAACATGAAAATCATGTATCAGATTTAGAGGAGATCTTCAGCATACCTTCTCCAGCTATTTTTCACTGTCCTAATACACAGTTTTGAAGAGTCCTGGTAGGTATTTCTCCTTGGCAGCCTCACCTTCCCACATCATGGAAGTACAGGTTCGCACATATACATAACATGATGATAGAAAATAAGATGTAGTAAATTAGATTTCTAAATTTCGGTTCTAAATCTCCTTGTCGATACCAGTAGATCTAAAAGAAGAATTAAATAGAAGTTTTAAGTTAATAGTTATTAGGCCAACTTTTTATCTGTATTTATTTCCCTAAATCTTAGCCAGAATTTAATTCTTATTCCTTGTAATTCAAGCAGTACTACCTGAATTTCCACACCCAGGAATCATACTCATTCCTACTTTGTCAGTTTATTCTGTTCAAACCCATACAGACAACCTGTTACATGGTAGGAGAAGCTACCCTCTTAAATGTATTGCAAGGGAAGACAACTTTTAAAGTTGATATTAGGCAGAACAAAATAGGGATTAACATAGTATATATTTAAAGTAACTCAGTGTTAATCACACAGAAGGGAATAGGAAGGCTCCCAGAATAGGATGCACCAGTTCTTCAGGTTGGAGGGATGTGGTAGGATCAGTGAATTACCACATTCGGAAATACCTCCTAGTATAACTTTAACTCAAAGTAGCTAACTACTATTAGGAGTTAAACCCTATGTAAGTCAAAACACTTGTTTTTAAGAGTTTCTTGTTTTGATTATTTTCAAAAGGGATATGAAGTAATGGTCAACTAGTGGATGCACGAACACGTTTACACCACTACTATCTTGTGTTTCTTTGCATTAAAGGGTCTATTTGTAGTAAAAATCAAGCATTATTGTGACAAACACAGCTGGCAGCTTTATGTTTCCCAGGAAATTTTGGTATTGGTAAATACACATTAAGATGTGTTACTTTAGAGATCTAGAATGCTTTCCCCTTAGGAACAATAAATGGCATTTCCTACAGCCTGTTAAGCCAGCACAAGGGAACACATGTTTGGAGTTAAGAGAATGAAAACTCAGATTTCAAAAAGTAGCGTGCAGTCAATAATAAAGAACTGGAACATCCTTTGGCAAAGGGGGACAACTGGGGTTCAGTGCTGGGACTCTGTCCTAAAGCACATTGTACTTAAATTGTAAATAATACTCACAAGTATGCAGGCAGTAATACTGCTCAAAGAGATGCATACAGCAAAAAATATATTCAGCGGTTTTGGAGGTAGCTGCGGGAAAACAAATGCGCTGATCAGCGTTACCTGTAGGGTAAAGTTACATGAGGTCACCAAGGGTGTTCCCAGAAATTACTTAGCTGAGGTTTAGGCAAGGCAACACTGCAGAACGCTTCACCGTGTAAAACTATATCTGGACAAGGTTTGCTTTCTGGAATGTTAATATAATTTTATTAAATTTTCAGATATACCTCATTTTGTACTACTTACTCTTTGAGATAAAAAATATCCATAAAACTAGTTAATTAGCAAAAAAATAATTTAAATCACAATCCCTGGATTAATGACTATACTTGAAAAAGCCATAACCATTTGTTATTTTGCATGCTCCTACCAAAAAATGAATATAGTCAAAGCTGGTGGTGTTTAATAGGATAAATACTAGATGATGGGTTTCTAATACCCTATATAGCTCTGTCTACCAGATTTCAGCATTGAAACCCTTTAAGAAGTAATGGGGGAAAGTAAAATGCTCTTAAATGTAATGAAAATGTACCTACCAGCCAAATGTCATTATCATCAAACAATGGGAAATCAGCTGTTTTTATATTACTAGGAGACCATCCAGCTCTGTTACAGTACACAAGATGAAACATTACTAGACAGTAACCCATTCCTTTTTCAACTTAACCAAAAAGTAATGAATGTTGTTTAAGACCAACTTCACAAATTAACACCAATGGGGAGTCATGCTGGGTTTACAACAGGAGCTGCTGGTGCCAAGAATATTTTTACAAATTTATTAAGCAAGCAAACATGGCCAGCTCAGTTCATTGAAAGCCCAGTTACCTGACTTGCACTACTTCACAAAATGTACTGGGGAGCAGCAGTGAAAATCAAATCAGCCACTCCAGTTGTCGGTTGCGGTTTTGTGCTAATGACATGGAAAGCATTCATACCGACTCTGACTAGAATGCTTCACACACTCAAGTATTTGCCCCTCACAAATTGATCTGAAACTTAACCACAATTCTCAAAATTTTGACCGAGAACCTGGGTGAAGCACAAAAGATACTTACAAGAATCAGTAAGGATGTTAAGCTGCCAACAACTAAATGGATGATTCGATCCTGAAAGAGAAAAGAGTTTAAGCTTCATGAATTGGATCCATGGCAGAATAGTATAATGACAGGCAGTAGGATGGTTTATAATGAAGATATCAGCATCCTATGCTCTGCGCTAACATGCTGGACAAGGAAAAGTGAACTGAGCTTTATGGTCAGGGGGGCTGGCACTATGGTGTAATAGGTTGAGTTTCCACCTACAGTGCGAGCATCCTAAATGGCCACTGGTTTGTGTCCTGGCTGCTCTTCCAATCCAGCTCTCTGCTGATGGCCTGGGAAATCGATGGAAGATGGCCCAAGCGCTTGAGTCCCTGCACCCAAGTGGGAAGACCTGGAAGAAGCCTCTGGCTCCTGGCTTTGGATCAGCCCAGCTCTAGCAGTTGCATGAGCAGAAAGAACGGCACAGAGGCACTTGGTGCCAGAGCCTTGGTGAAAAGTATCAGGAACCATACCTGATAAAAAGTACCATGATCAGTTTGGATCTGTATTTGGGATACAGCTTAGATGTCCTTGGTAAAAACCATACAGCAAGTTAGAAGCAGCACTGAAGCCAGGGGTTCTAAATCTAAATCACCAGTTTCTGGTGCAGGACTAAAAAATCTGGGTTCGTAATAGTTATTTCCAAAGGGGCAGGCGTGTGGCTCTGTAGTTAAGATGCTTCTGGGAATACCTGAATCCCACATCAGAATGCCAAGTTTAAGTCCCAGCTCCTGTTCTGATTCCAGCCTCCTGCTCCCACACACTGGTACAGGCATAGCTCAGTTCCTGTGCCCTGCCACCCATGTGGGAAACCCTAATTAAGTTCCAGGCTCCCACTTTTGACATGACCTAGCCTGGCTATTGCAGCCATTTGGCGAGTGAAACAGCAGATGAAGATCTCTGTCTCCCTTGTTAAAAAAAATTCTTTACAGAACTTCAGAACAAGGTAAAGGTTTAAGACCTGACTCAAACATACTGTAATAAAATTTGAATACAAGTGGTTGTATTTCTGAGGAGTCAAATTTGAGTCTTCAAAGAAAGGCTGTTTTGTTAACAGATCAGGAAACAACTTCAAGATATGGGAAAGGCACAGGGAGGATCACATAACAGCAATGAACCTTCATTTCCAAGTCAAGCAGGCAAACTGGAAAGCTAAGTATGTGTAGGGTGTGCCTGATGTAACCCAGGGCAAACCACACTCTGCACACCAAGGCCACTGAAATGCAAAGATTAGAGAATAAAAAAACAATTCCAGCCACACCCTTCTTAAACATAGCAGGCTGAGCAGACCATAACCGTGGCCTTAGCCAGAGACACCTGCATGGCCCACAGGAGGCTGAAATGAGAACCATTTGTTAGAGACCCAGAGGAAAGGCTCTGCTCATTTTTCCCCACACAGGACAAAGTAGTGTGTATAAAATAAACATGCTATCTCAAAGTTGAAACAAACTCTATGGGAGACCTTTATTTTCACCTTGTGCAAAAGGATCAACTATATTTTCTGCTGGCCTCAGAATCAAGAATGTGTGTTCTCCCAACACATGTCTGGCATGGCAGGTTAAGGTCCAGTTTGGGAACCCAACATCCCATATCCAAATGTCTGGTTTGAGTCCAGCTTCCTGCTAATGCACACGCTAGGAGACAGCAGGAGATGGCTCCAGTATTTGGGGAGGTCTCAACAATGTGAGAAAAACTGAAATTGAGGCTTCTGGCTTTGGCCTGGGGGCACTTTGGAAGTACACAAACAGATGGAAGACGTGTGTGCCCGCCACCCCCACCCCAACTCTATCTGACTCTCAGTTTTCTAAATCCTGGGATGTAATGGTATATGACTACTTTACAGACAGCAAGAGGCTCAAGGAAGTTGAGACCTTGTCCAAGGTCTCAATACCACTAAGTGCTATAGACAGGATTCAGTACCAGCCCAGCATTCCCCAACAGAGAAGACTCCATATTTTCTTCTCACTGAAGAGCAGCCTAGAATGCTACTCCAAGCCTAAAGATGGCAAGTGGCAGATGGCATCTCACAAAGTGTTGACAAGTAAGTGGTTTTAAGAATGAAGATTTGGATTCTGTCCCGGTTGCCCCTCTTCCAGGCCAGCCCTCTGCTGTGGCCAGGGAGTACAGTGGAGGATGGCCCAGGTGCTTGGGCCCTGCACCCCATGGGAGACCAGGAAAAGCACCTGGCTCCTGGCTCCTGCCATCGGATCTGCGCGGTGCGCCGGCTGCGGCGCACCGGCCACGGCGGCCATTGGAGGGTGAACCAACGGCAAAAGGAAGACCTTTCTTTTTCTCTCTCTCTCTCTCACTGTCCACTCTGCCTGTCAAAAAAAAAAAAAAAAAAAAAAAAAAAAAAAAGAATGAAGATTTCCTTGGGGCCAGTGCTGTGGCAGGTCAAAGCCCCACCTGCAGTGCTGGCATCCCATATAGGTGCTGGTTTGAGTCCCGGCTGCTCCACTTCCCATTCAGCTCTCGGCTATGGCCTGGGAAAGCAGTGGAAGATGGCCCAAGTCCTTGGGCCCCTGCCCCTGTATGGGAGACCCGGTGGAAGCCCCTGGCTCCTGGCTTTGGATTGGGCCAGCTCACGCCATTGCGGCCAGTTGGGGAGTGAACCAGCGGATGGAAGACCTCTCTCTGCCTCTCCTCCTCTCTGTAACTATGACTTTCAAATAAGTAAATAAATCTTTAAAGAAAAAGAATAAGAATGAAGTCTTTCCTTAGATTATTTTTTCCAGGTTGCTGTATTTATCCAAGTAAGCATGACTGGTTTTAACTATTCTGATGAAAATATATCTAAACTTAGCAAGTTCTTTCCTGCCTTCTAGAGAGTCTGACAAAATTTTCAGGTCATCTACATGAGTATCCATAATTCTACTGTTTTATTGCCATCACCAGTGATCCCCCTCTGAGGCTCCCAAGATACAATGCATGATTTAGGAAACACAAAATGATTCTTGCGCTATTTTCTTTCTACAAGATAAGGCTTTTGCTTCTGGCTTTCTACCAAGGTAACCATGATTTAAGAGAAACAAAGGAATAACAGAATTAATTGTGGAAAACCTCCCACTCCTAATGCTTTCTTCTGAAGTCCTGCTACTCAAAAGTACTGTCTGTGGCCAGCAGCATCAGCCTCACCAGGAGCCTGTGTGAAAAGCAAGAGCTGGCCCTTTGCCCCAGACCTGCTCAAGCACAGTAGGCACTTGAACAAGTTCTAGTAATCTGTTCACCTTTCATGAAAAGCACTGTTCTGAAGTTTAAAGTCTGACTGAACTATTTTGGGTTGTAATATTCAAATTCATAGGGTGGAGAACCTTCTCTGAGCTCAAAGATTATTTTTCAGGCCTTCAGCAGCAATGCCAGCTCCAGCCTCCAAGGGGATAGCAGAATAATTAAATAGTTAATCAGCATTTCAAAGGACAGTCTGGGGTTTAATATGCTCCAAATGAGAACCAGAGTACACAGAAAAGTGGATATTACATTTAAACTTGGCTGTTTCCACAGCTAGTCTGTTTATTCAGTTACTTCTCAGAAAAACTATCTCCTCCCAGTTTTGTTTTCTTTTTTTTTTAACCCTAGTTCCACCTTCCAAAAGGGTGCTCCTGTAAACCTTGTACAGTAGCTCATTTTCACTCCCAAAGCAAGCTGGCCAAGTTAAGAATCAGCTTGGATTCTTTTTCAGGTTCATTTATTTTCATTTACTTGAAAGCCAGAGTGACAGATCTCTTGATTTGCTGGTTCACTTCCCAACTGCCCGCAACACCCAGGGCTGAGCCAGACTAAAGTCCGAAGGCTAGAGTTCCATCCAGGTCTCCCACATGAGTGGCAGGGTCCCAGGCACTTCCGCGATGCATTAGCAGGAAGCTTGACTGGAAACAGAGGTGTCAAGACTGCAACAACACAAGCTGTACAACACCCACCCGGAGCCTGGTTTCTTAACTGCTGACAAGACATGATACAGAGTTAGGATGCCCCTCCCAAAGACAAAATATTCGGCAGCAAGCTTAATCTTCGTATACATACACACATGCATAAAAATAAAATATGTATGTATATGAGATTGCTTCAAAAAGAAAAAAATGGAGTTAAGGTTTATTTTGGTTCAAAATAGGCATTTTCCATGAACATCTGAAGACCCCTCATATATACTAGAAACAAATTTCACATATTACTTATAAATCATTTAATAATTTGAACACCTGCTATAACTCAGATGCAACAATGAGTAGAACCACCTCTTCTCCAGAGCTCAGGAGGCCACTATGGAGAAAAGAGGGAGGTATCTTGGGGAAGCAGGGACAGATTACAAGTCAAAACCTGAAGGAGGACTAGCAGATGCGGAAGAAGGGAGGGAGGCACTCCACGGGGACCCACGGGAGAACACAACCACTGCTGTTTGGGGCAAAATAAATACTTCCATGAGCTGGGATGCAGCACACAGTGACATCAGCCTGAGCCTGAGGGAGTCACATCTTTGTCTTCCTTTAAATTGGGGGAAATGGACAAATGATTTGCATCTGGGATAGGAGAGAATAAGCCCAAGAAGCAAACAAGGGATTCTTTGTTTTCATTTGCCGATAGGGAACTAGGCTTATCAGAAGAGTTGCCCAACATCACACAGTAAGGTGGGTTCTATGTCTCCCATCTAATGCTTGCTTTGGCAGCACATACACTAAAATTCTCCTATCTGATGGTCTTTGTAACAGACAAACCTGATGAGCAGTACAAACGGCCCAAGGATCCTTCAGCTAATACCTATGAGCCTGAATTTACAACCAGAGACCAAGGTTCTCAGGGCATTCTGCTAGCTGGCTAGCTAGCTATGTGTTCTCAATTCCTCGCCCCATCTGGGCGTACCAAACGAGAAGATGGGGCTAAATGAGAGCTGGTCCCCTACAGTTCTGGATCGTCAGCTTTGGGGTGCACTTACACCAAAGAAGCAAGACCACTCCTCTTGTGATCACAACATGCTGGGTGGGGGTCCTACCTGGTCAGCCATTGGGCAGCACCTTGGCACCGAACAGAGAACCCCACACTCGTTTCAAATGCTCAGGCACAAGGATGGCTCTGGGAGGAAACTCAAAAGCCAGCTTTTGACCCCAGCTCCTTGGAAATAGGCTGCTCTAGAGTTCAGAATGCTAGCAAGTAGAAACAATGTACTCAACCTTCCATTTCCATGGCAATTTATATTTTGCCTACTTCCAAAACAGACTTGAGGGACTTGGTGCTACCATAATCCATTTAAGCAACAACAAAGACCAAAGCAAAATTTCTAAAGGGGTTTGGAGAGTACACATTTAATTAGAAAAAATTTAGCTGAAGAAACTACTTGTGATCCAAAGACCAATGTTAGGGGCCAGTGCTGTGGCATAGCGAGTGAAGCTGCCACCTGCAGTGCTGGCATCCCACATGGGCACCAGTTCAAGTCCCGGCCTGCTCCTCTTCCAATCCAGCTCTCTGCTGTGGCCTGGGAAACCAGCAGAAGATGGCCCATGTCCTTGGGCCCCTGCACCCTCATGGGAGACCCAGAAGAAGCTCCTGGCTCCTGGCTTCAGACTGGCACAGCTCCAGCCATTGCAGCCATCTGGGGAGTGAACCTGCAGGTGGAAGTTCGTTCTCTCTGTCTCTCTGCCTCTCTGTAACTCTGCCTTTCAAATAAATTAATTTAAAAAAAAAAAAAAAAGTCCAACATTAGAACAGTAGTCCTTCCAAACTGTGGTTCTGCTTTCTGTGGTTTCACTGACGTGCGGTTAAGCGACCCAGAAATATTATGTAGAGAGTTCCAGAAATAACTTGTTTTACAGGTTATTTGCAGGCGAAGGCAGGTGTTTGGCCTAACAGTTAAGATGTCATATGGGACGCCACATGCCCATTAGAGTCCCCTGAGTTCTGCTTTCAGCTCCTCCTAATATGTGCCCTGAGAAGCGGCGTGACAGTTCCAGTATCTGGGTCCATGTTGCCCACATGGGAAACCTGATTGAGTTCCTGGCCCCACAGCCCTGAGTGCTGTGGGTATTTGGGGAGTAAACCAGCACACGAGAGGTTTCTCAGTCCATCTGTCTGTCTCCAGGGTGGAAAACATGTCACAAAAGCTCTGGAAATGGCCCACCAAGAACCCTGACAGACAGCCCTCAGAGACTAGACAACAGGATGTGACACATGGGAGGGGGCTGCTCCAGGCCCTGTCCAGGTATTTAACTGGGTTCCACCAGAGCTGCATGGAAGCACCTAAACAAGAGTTTCCCCTTGTGCTGTCACCAGAGAGAGCCAGAGGGACAGAACACACACAGGTGGGAAGCACGCAGACAGCCTGGCTGCACCAGCCAGCTCTGGGGTAGAGTGAACTCTGACCTTAGGTTTGCTGTTCTGACATGTCCCAGAAAACCCGGGACTTTGGACTCTCCAAGAGCACAGGCTGCACCAGAAAGGACTGGGAGGCGCACCCACCCTCCACATCCCCCTGGCTGGGACCTCCACTCACACGTGGCTCTGCGTACCCACCTGCCCCCCATTCCTACCCACACAAAGTTAATGCGCAGATACTTGTTAATTTCCCTTTATTTCACAGATTCACATTCAAGATTCGCATCTTGCAGTTATGAATATTTTTATACATGTATCCCACCAGATTCTTCTCACAGATGTATTTTCATTGAAGCACCAGTTATGGATATCAGGACAGCAAAAGCAGAAACGAACCCATGTCACGTGTTTAAGGGGAAAATAACCCCTGGAGATGGTACCCAGAGGAATCAACATAACTTAATCTGCTCCAAGCCTCAGAACAGGAGGCGCAGCTCGAAGACCATGAGTTCAGAGCCCCAAAGTTCTGACTTACGCTCCTGCACGCACTTGCTGTGGCCTTGGCTAAGTCAATGAACCCCTATGCCCCAGATTCCAAGGTCACGCAATGGTCTAACATGCAGAATCGCTCAAGGATTAGGAAATAATGCGTGTAAAGGCCTTCAACATCCACTAGGGGTCAGTAAATGGTAGCTATTATGGTACCGCTGGTATTTCTACCCTATCTACTGGAGAGCCTTACAGCTTACTGGGAGTTGAGCTAGCTCCGTGCCTGGCCCCAATTTCTAGAGTAACCCCAAAATCAAAAGCATTTCATCACTCCCAGAGGGACACTCAGGTTTGGCAACACACATGTTCCTGTAAGGCTCAGAAAATAGTCACCATACCTATACACAACCTATGGGCTGATCATAAGGAAGAAATGAGTCAATTCTATTACTCCAGACCAGCAAAAATTATGTCTACAGAGAGGAAAACTCTAGACCATCAACTTTGAAGAGGCCAGGCTTCAGTTTACGTTTTCTTTCCAATACTGTGCTGCACACTCACTACCCTCTTGGCTTTACATAGTGCAGAGGGAGAGCAAAGGAAGCACTTTCAACCCAGGAGAGCTTGAACACCACTTCCTGTTTTGATCAGCAGCGTGCCCTGGCTCCTAAACGCCAGTTTCAGCCTTCTATTGGTTCAAAATGCCCCAAGATACAGGTTACTTTTTCGCGATCCTAAACTCTCACTTCACGTAAAACTGAAAATACATAAAAATTAAGAACTGGATAAGGCACTATGCCTATTGCTGAGAAGGCTACAGAGATGTGGAAACAGGCTCATACTCCCGAGACAAGATCTAGCCAAGTCCCTCACTGCACAAAGAGGAAGCGCCAGGGCACATCTGACAGCCAGGCTCACAGGAGAAAGGTTCTAAAGGGGAGAGCCAGGCAGAGCGGAGAAGAGAGGGCGCTACACAAAGAACAGCAGTTGCAAAGAACAGGGAGGCAGCTAAAGGAAAGGCATCCGTGGAGAGGCGCCGGCCTCACGGAGCAAGGGAGCCAGTGGACTGCAGCCCTCCCTCTGTACTGAAATCCCCTGGTTGTCCAGAAACACTGTGCCTGGGTGTGAGCCCCACGCCCAGACACTCCAAGTCCACTGCTCTGCGGTGGGGAGAGAGAGAAAGCCTCCAGACGAGGATGGAAACAAGTCGTGTGCTTATTTGTCCCGAGCAGCTTCTCTCACTCAAGTAGTCTCGAGATAGGCTGAGAGGAGACAACTGTCTCTAGTCCCTTCCACTGGGAAGCTCCGTCAGAAGGGAAACCAGAAGCCTGCACTCACCAGAAACCAGCCTTAGGGGCCTGGGGCACAGAGACAGGAATCGGAATCACAGCTTTGTTCTTAATTAAGCAGCAGAAAGCTAAAATAATAAAGGAATAGAGCAGCACTCAAATCTGTGCTACTGGCCGGCGCCGCGGCTCACTAGGCTAATCCTCCGCCTTGCGGCGCCGGCACACCGGGTTCTAGTCCCGGTCGGGGCACCGGATTCTGTCCCGGTTGCCCCTCTTCCAGGCCAGCTCTCTGCTGTGGCCAGGGAGTGCAGTGGAGGATGGCCCAAGTGCTTGGGCCCTGCACCCCATGGGAGAATAGGAGAAGCACCTGGCTCCTGCCATCGGATCAGCGCGGTGCGCCGGCCACAGCGGCCATTGGAGGGTGAACCAACGGCAAAAGGAAGACCTTTCTCTCTCTCTCTCTCTCACTGTCCACTCTGCCTGTCAAAAAAAAAAAAAAAATCTGTGCTATTATTTACACGAGCTAAATGCTCCAAGTATGAATTGTTTGACTAGGTCCACCTGTCATGAAAAGACCTTGTCTTCCACCAGTTTTGCTTGCTTACTGGGGGAGGGGAATGCAGGATGTTTTAGCTTTGGGAACCCATGATCTGAGTCTCATCCTCTGTCATCTGCTGGTAGCTCAGCGCCTGCACCTCCTCCCAAGTCACTCTCTCCTCCTCCATCACCTCCAGTAAGAAACAGACAAAAACCCTCACCACCTTCTCAGAGGAGGCATCACCTCTTTGTTATGTGACCACTGAACACCAGCAGAGTAGGCTGACCCAGAAACCGTTCTCACTACAAACCCAGCTTTTCCCCTGGCACAAGCTAGGACAGGCTTTGCTTTCTTCTGAGATAACCACCCCACCCTCAGATCACCAGGCTACAGGGGCCGAAACTGACTCCAGACCAGCAGGCAGCCAGCTGGCAAGTCCAGAGATCGGGACGGACTCACATGCCCCGAGAGTAACTCCAACGCCCTTGCAGAGAGTGCCCAAGCTCTGCTGTGCTCCCGCAAACTTACAGGCGGCTGTGGAGAGACAGGGTGGAGTGGGGAGACAGACGTCCAGGTTTTAGGGCACACCAGGGGAAAAGAGGAAGAAAACTCCTCGGGCCACATTTCCCAGAGGGTTTTCTGTAAAACTTGGCCTTGTGAGTGCTACTGTAGGGGAAGTTAGAGCCCAGTAAGGCCTTGTGCTAGGGCTAAGAAAGCCACACCATGGAAACTGCTAAGAACTACTCGCCCTCACCAACAGCCACAATGAAAACGGGCACACTTAAGTTTCTCAAAGTCTCACAGTGAAGAACATTTCACAGACATGACTACAAAACCCTAAGAAGGGGTCGGCGCTGTGGCGCAGTGGGTAAAGCCGCCGCCTGCAGTGCCGGCATCCCATATGGGTGCCGCTTCAAGTCCCGGCTGCTCCACTTCCCATCCAGCTCTCTGCTATGGCCTTGGGACTGCAGTAGAAGATGGCCCAAGTCCTTGGGCCCCTGCACCTGAGTAGGAGACCTGGAAGAAGCTCCTGGCTCCTGGTTTCGGATCAGCGCAGCGCAGTGGCCATTGTGGTCATCTGAGTAGTGAACCAGCGGACAGAAGACCTCTCTCTCTCTCTCTCTGCCTCTCCTTCTCTGTGTAACTCTGACTTTCAAATAAATAAGTAAATCTTTAAAAAAAAAAACCCTAAGAAGTCACTTCCATTAGACTCTCACAGTGTGGGCCAGCACTGTGGCATAGTAGGCTCAGCCTTTGCCTGCAGTGCTGGCATCCCATATGGGCAGCCGTTCTAGTTCCAGCTGCTCCTCTTCTGACCCAGCTCTCTGCTATGGCCTGGGAAAGCAGTGGAAGCCCTTGGGCCCCTGCACCAACATAGAACCCAGAAGATCTAGGCTCCTGGCTTCGGATCAGCTCAGCTCCAGTCATTGCGGCCATTTAGGGAGTGAATCCACGGATGGGAAGACTTTTCATTCTGTTTCTCCCTCTCTTTCTCTCTAATTCTACCTCTCAAATAAATAAATGAAATCTTTTTTTAAAAAAAATCTTATGGTGCAGGCCGGTGCCGCAGCTCACTTGGCTAATCCTCCGCCTGTGGCACTGGCATCCCAGGTTCTAGTCCTGGTCGGGGCGCCGAATTCTGTCCCGGTTGCTCCTCTTCCAGTCCAGCTCTCTGCTGTGGCCCGGAGTGCAGTGGAGGATGGCCCAAGTGCTTGGGCCCTGCACTCGCATGGGAGACCAGGAGAAGCACCTGGCTCCTGGCTTCGGATCAGCGCAGCGCACTGGCTGTAGCGACCATTGGAGGGTGAACCAATGGAAAAAGGAAGATCTTTCTTTCTGTCTCTCTCTCTTTCACTGTCTAACTCTGCCTGTCAAAAAAAAAAAAAAAAAAATCTTATGGTGCAAAACGGTAGCACCAGCCATATGTGGTTACTGGGCACCTGCAATGTAGCCAACTGACCTGAGATGGGCTGTAAGTGTAAAACACTGGCTTTCAAAG